GCTAAAAGCAACGCAACCTGCTGCTGCCGAAGCTTTTGCTGCTGCAGCTGCTGCTGCTGCTGCTGCTGCTGGTCCCCGGATAGGAAAACACCATGGCAGTGAAGGACGGAGAACCCCCAAAATTGCACTCCGAAAATGCCTAACGTAACTTCTGAAACCGATAGAAAATGATGATTTTGGCGGCTTTTTCCTCTTGCTGCTGCTATGAATATGAAGTTTGGCTACCTTTTCCTCCTGCTGCTGCAGAGGCTTTTGCTGCTGTTGCTGATGCTGCTGCTGGTCCCCGGATAGGAAAACACCATGGCAGTGAAGCACGGAGAAGCTCCAAAAGTGCACCCCGAAAATGCCTAACGTAACTGCTGAAACCCATAGAAAAATGCTATGCATTTTGGCTACCTTTTCCCCCTGCCGCTGCAGATGCTTTTGCCGCTGCTGCTGCTGGTCCCCGGATGGGAAAACACCATGGCAGCTTCTATGAATTTTGGCTACCTTTTCCTCCTGCTGCTGCAGAGGCTTTTGCTCCCCCTTGCGTCTTCCCTTATGCGCTCCTCCTTGCGTCGGCCGGGGTCGGCGGATAATATATATTATATAATAGAAAATAATATAATATAAGTTACGGCGCAATTACTCGAAACAAAAGTTGGACTTCGAGTTGAACCGCTGCTGAGTTTTACATGGCGGCCCTGGCACAGGCAAATCGTATACTTTGAAAATGCTTCGCACCGAATTGTTTGAAGGAGTGCTTAGGTGGCAGCATGGGATCGACTTTCAGATCGTCAGCTTCCAGGCGGTCATGGCAGAGCTGCTGGATGGAGACACCATCCATCACGCGTTGGGCCTAGATTGGGGCGGAGACAGCACACGAAATAGCTTGCGCAATCTGGAGAAAGCGCAGGAAATTTTGCAATGGAGGTGGTTAATTTTGGATGAGTTTAGCATGGTCAGTGCGGAACTGTTGGCGCAACTGGAACTGCGATGTAGGGAGCTGGTGCGAGACTTGAGCCTCGCAAAATACGGCAGCGATGGCAGGGCGCGACCATTCGGTGGACTGAACGTTATTTTAGCTGGTGATCTTTACCAGCTGCCTCCTCCGAAAGGAACTTTTTTGGGCGACATTCCATGGGACCTCGTTGCCGGGCGAAAAGCAACAAAGCAAGCCACGGCCTTGCACGGTCAAACGCTCCTGTGGGGAGGACCAGACGCAGGCATGCAAGGCGTGACGGAACTGCTTCGGTGTGAGCGCACTGCGGACGTATGGCTAACGGAAGTGCAGACAGAACTACGGCACGGTCAGTTGTCGGACAACAATCATGCATTTTTACACGGCGGACCAACAACAGTCCCGGGTAGTTGGATTGCAGGACGTGCGTCATGCAAGTCGCAACAGTGCGCAGCCTTAGGCACTGGCAACGTTCCGCCCCACAGAATCCAGCAGCAAGAGTGCAGCGTCTGCGCAGAAGACAGAGCAAGCAGAGCATTGGTGGTGGATGCCAAACCAGACGCGCGATGCCAGGAAGCATTGGAGAATGCCGTCGCGATTTTCGGTACGAATGGCATTAAGTACCATGTGAATAAACGCAGAGCCATGCAGTGGGCCACCTCGCGGGGGAAAACCGTGCACGTGGCAGTGGCCCGGGATAAGGCCTCCGCGGCAGTTCTCCAAGAGAAACCTGCCTTGATGGCGGAAAAGCTGCAATGGCTGCAGCGGCACGACAAGGAATGTGTGGGGTTGTATGGCTTGTTGCCGCTTTGCGTCGGCATGCCGGTTCGCGCCACAGAACACTTCTATAGACAGAAGGCGAGGCATCCTAAAAGGATGCCGCGGGACGATCGTCGGTTGGTCGTCCTGTGCGGACGACACACACGACGGTGTAGTACTCTGGAACGCGTTACCGCAGGCCGTGATATATGTGAAGTTCGACACCGCCGAATGCTGGCAGATTGATGGCGTTCCGGAGGAGAATGTGTATCCTGTCGCGACCTGCAAGCGGGTGTGGTACTTGGATCGCCAACGGAAAAACCCACAACTTCGGGTTTCGCGCACGCAGTTTCCATTGGCGCCGGCCTTCGCCATCACCGCCCATGTGGCTCAGGGTCAAACAATCACAGAAGGGGTCCTCACAGTGTGTGTTGGTCTTGGAGGTAACCCCTTCACTGCACATGTCGCATTCACGCGGGTACAGGGACGCACGCGATTGTTCATCTATCGGCCCTTCGACACAGCGCCGTTCCAGAAGGGAATTGGCTTGGGCCGGGACCTGCTACTGCGGCAGCTGCGCGGGGAACGCATAGAGTGGAAAGCGCTCTTGGCGAAATATTGTGAAGAACGGACGTGTGGTGCCTGCGCGGAGCGAAAGCCGGCCAATGCATTCACCGCAGGACAGTGGAAACGCAGTGATGCTGACCGCGTGTGTCGTGAGTGCACGAAGAGGTACGCGGATGCCGGGACGCCCTGGCAATGCAACGTCTGCAAACGGTGGCATGCAGAGACGAACTGTCCGGACAAGCATCGGCAACGACAATGCAGCTTTTACCGCGTGTGTTTGACATGCGAAACGAAAAAGCCTTGCGCCCGATGCGGTGTCGCGAAGTCGGAGGCTGACTTCGGGGCGGCAGCGTGGAAGGCGCGAAATGCAGAGAGACGGTGTTGTCGAACATGCGCAACGAAGATGCGCGACCACTGGAAGTGCAGCCACTGCGAGGAACGTAAGCCTCGTGCAGAATTCTCTGCCTGGCAAGAGAAGCGCGAGTTTGCGCCAAATGGCACGCAACGCTGCAACATGTGCGTGTCTGCGAGGTTGGTTCGTCGTGTCGCAGCACGAGCGAATCAACGCGTGCTGCCTCGCCGCATTCAGCGGCAGCACGAGCAAGCCATTATAGAAGAGGTCCGACGAGAAATAGCGGCAGTAACAGAGCAGATCTAGAGGTCGAAGACGAGCGCACCTAGCGTGATGGGGTTACCGGACAAGGCGCACAGGGTCGCCGTAGCCGCAGTCGACACAGGTAGCAAAGTGCCCGCGCGACCGGGCAGCGGTGCAGGCGCCGCGCAGGAGTCGCGCCCCAAATGCGACCCCAGAAGGAACGAGGACAACACATTCGACTACATATGTCCGTTTTGTGCGGCTGCCGTCAGCAGCCTTGTGCGTTCTGGCCAAGTAAATCACCGCAGGCATTGCGGCAACCGATTTCGGGTCAAAGACGGCTGCGTCGTGACACAAAAGATGGTGTACCAGTGCCCGTTCTGCGATGGCACAGTGCAAAGCAACGTGATGACGGGGCGAATCGACCATCGCAGCGTGTGCGGCAGCCAGTTTTGGGTAAGGACCGGCAAGGTCACGGATGCGACGCGCCGACATCCGCATACGTGCCCTCAATGTGGAACGGTCGTGTGGTCAGCATGTACGTCGGGGCGCATCCGGGTGCAGCACACCACACCCTCGGGACGCCCGTGCCCGCAGAAGAGTTGGATAAGCGAGGACAAGAAAGAAGCATAGGACTGTAGATATCCTTGTGACAAGTCTAAGAGTTGGTCTCGATCGAGGAGGTACGGCCCGCACCGATGGCCGCGTGGGTGTTCCGCTTTCACGGAAAGCTTATAAGGTTGCTGTCTGAAGCCACTGGTAAAGATTAGAAAAGCTGGAGCACAGGCCCGGCAGCTGGCCACAAAGCGCCCGCCAAGGCGCTGCGGAGGGTTTGAAGCCAGGCTAGTGCCTAACGTTGCTTTCTGAAGCCACTAGAAAAGACTGGAAAAGCTGAGGCACAGGCCCGGCAGCTGGCCACAAAGCACTCGCCAAGGCGCTGCGAAGGGTTTGAGGCCGGGCTAGTGCCTAACGTTGCTTTCTGAAGCCACTAGAAAAGACTGGAAAAGCTGGAGCACAGGCCCGGCAGCTGGCCACAAAGCGCCCGCCAAGGCGCTGCGGAGGGTTTGAGGCCGGGCTAGTGCCTAACGTTGTTTCTGAAGCCACTAGAAAAGACTGGGAAAGCTGGAGCACAGGCCCGGCAGCTGGCCACGAAGCGCCCGCCAAGGCGCTGCGGAGGGTTTGAGGCCGGGCTAGTGCCTAACGTTGCTTTCTGAAGCCATTAGAAAAGATTAGAAAAGCTGGAGCACAGACCCGGCAGCTGGCCACAAAGCGCCCGCCAAGGCGCGGCGGAGGGTTTGAAGCCAGGCTAGTGCCTAACCTTGCTTTCTGAAGCCACTAAAAAAGACTGGAAAAGCTGCAGCACAGGCCCGGCAGCTGGCCACGAAGCGCCCGCCAAGGCGCTGCGGAGGGTTTGAGGCCGGGCTAGTGCCTAACGTTGCTTTCTGAAGCCACTAGAAAAGACTAGAAAAGCTGGAGCACAGGCCCGGCAGCTGGCCACAAAGCGCCCGCCAAGGCGCTGCGGACGGTTTGAAGCCGGGCTAGTGCCTAACGTTGATTTCTGAAGCCACTAGAAAAGATTAGAAAAGCTGGAGCACAGGCCCGGCAGCTGGCCACAAAGCACTCGCCAAGGCGCTGCGGAGGGTTTGAAGCCAGGCTAGTGCCTAACGTTGCTTTCTGAAGCCACTAGAAACTGCGTGTGAGAATTTCATGCATCCCTATTTATCCAATTCTCAAATGGAAATACTTCTACTTTTGCTTTGACTACTACCCAACGGGTGTAGTCCAGACTACTACCCTCCGGGTGTAGTCTAGGAATCTTGAAGAACCTGCATCTGGGCCGGACCGAAGCCCTTTAGATGTCAAGTGGCACAAAGGTGCGTCAGCTGGCAGCGAGGTGGCTGCTTGGAGTTTTGGGGAAACTTGGTTTTGTTTTTTGGGTTGAAACATTCTTTTTCCGGTTGGAGTCGAGATCTCAGTTGCTGTTCAGGGTTCCAGGACGGTTCACTTGTTGGCATTGGGAGGCTTCAGGAAACACAGGTTATGAGCCCAAGGAGCTTGTGTAAACCCCCAAAGACTTCTGACATGATGCGTAGACGTAGACCGGATGGCGGCGCTGTCGATGGATCTGGCGCTGAGCAGATGATGGCAGCTGGCGCTGAGCAGATGGCGGCAGCTGGCGCTGAGCAGATGGCAGCGGCTGGCGCGGTGCAAGCGGCGGCAGCTGGTGATCGGCAGATGGCGGCTGCGGGCGCTGAAGGCGATGCAGCACAGGCGCTTGGGGCGAGAGGAGATGCAGCTGAGAGAGGCCTGGAACTGGTTGGACAAGAACTTGTACCAGCTTCTCAAGCCTTGGCCTTGAGGACACCGGATGGGTTGGAGAAAGGGCGAGGGTCAGACGCTGCAAAGGGCTCTAGGTCACCAAGGGCAGCCACAGAACCAGTTAGCCAGGGTCAGAAGTCAAAGGAGGGTTCAGTCAGAGGCCAAAAAGGAACCCCAAAAGAAATAGAACCAGAGAAGCGTCAAGAGATGGCAACACCCAGTGGACAGCCAGTTTCACTAGGTCCCCATTCCTTTGTGACACCAGAGGGACAGGTCCAAAGTATGTTGCCACTTTTTTCACCAGAGCAGACGGTGAAACTTCATGAGATCCACCAGATGCCTTTTGCATCGCCTGCGGCTTCATGGAATGGTCCTGCGGTTGGAGAACATGGACACGGGGGAGCTGAGCGACAAGCAGTTCCAGGTTGGTTCACAGGGTTGCTTCAATCAGTAGGATCTCAGCAAGGTGAACATGAGGCGAGGCAAAGGGATTACATGTGGAGAATGCAAGTTGAGCATGGCATAGAACATCTAGGGGTTCAGTTGCGTGCGGCACAGCATGAAAACCAAAGACTTCGTCAAGAGCGTCAAGAGTTGTTGGAAGCCTTGGAAAAGAAGGGATCGTCGAGGTTTACCACACCAGATGACAAAGCAGCCAACATGTTAAAAAAGGAGGAAGGGGCAGAGTCCCGGCAAGAAAGACCTTCCAAGGAGGAAGGGGCAGGTGCCCGGCAAGGAACACCTTCTAAGGAGGAAGGGGCAGAGGCCCGGCAAGACAGATCTTCTCAGGAGGATGGGGCAGAAGCCCGGCAAGAACAGTCAGAGAGCGATTCGTCTTCTGAGGAGCCGCAAAGAGCAAGCAGGCCAAAGGAGAGCGTTGACAAGCAGTCCATGAGGATCATGCTCAAGTTGATGGAGGGCATGCAGGAGCTTCAGAAACAGATTGTGATCTCCAAGGAGGAAGGAAAAGGTGATGAGATTGAAGTGGTGCGCTATGTGGCGGATCTCCCAAAACTTGCTGAATGGAATCCGGAGACGGCGCCCATCGATTTTGGTGATTGGGTGATTTGTCTGCATCCTCATATGGCAGACTTGAGCTCAACGAGTGAGATGTGGTGGGACTTGACCCTCTCAACAGCGAGGACTTGGTATGATCACCACATGAAGCTATCGCCAATTGAGAGGTTGACGAGCACACCAAGGCCTACACCAGAGTTGCAGCAGAAGAAGTGGTCCCGGCTGGAAAGAAGGGCTTCGTCCTTGCTCTTGAATGCGTTGCCGCAGACGATGAAAGAGGAGGTGATTGCGGCGAAGTCCATCACAGCTTTGGGCATTTTGTCTCGTGCGATGCTGCAGTTTCAACCTGGAGGGCTGACAGAGAGAAGCGCTATTTTGACGGCGCTGGAAGCACCTATGGAAGCTGCAACCGTGGGTTCAGCCATCCAACAGCTGAGACGTTGGATGAGATGGAAGCGCCGGGCCCTTGAAGTTGGAGTTTCAATTCCAGACAGTTCAATTTTGATGAAGGGATTGGGACGTTTGGTGAGGAAAATTGTTTCCAGTTACCCAGATCTCAACTTCCGCTTGTCGTTGGTCAAGAGCTCATTGTTGGTGGAGACAGTTCCAACGTTGGAGACAGTGACCCAGTACAGCGAACACCTTCTTGCAGAGCTGGAGCAGATGGGACAGCAGGCAAAAAGGAAGGAAGTGATGGCAGAGAGCCAGCCAAAGGTGAAGAAGTTTGAGGAAGCCTCGGGAAGCAAGCCTGAAGAAAGGACCAGGCCGAAGGGGAAGCCTCAAGAGGAGTTTGAAGGGAGGAGGAAACCATGTAGGTTTTACCTCACAGACTCAGGTTGCCGAAGAGGTAGAGGATGTCCTTTTGGACACCAGTTGGATGGAGAAAGAAGGTGTTGGACATGTGGAGGAAAGGACCATATGGCCACAGCCTGTCCGACCACAGAGGAGTCCAAGCCGAAGGCAGCAAAGTTTGGTTCCAAGACCCCAGAGAAGGATGTGAAGTCCGCTACAACATCTCCTGAAAAGTCCGAGGAGCAGTCTGAGGCCACGGGTAATGGAGGAGAAGAAACTATGAAGTCGTTGCTGGATGAAGCAAGTCGGATGCTCAAATCAATGAATGAAGGAGATGTCAAAGAAAAGAGACAGAAAGGGGAGGACGCACAAGAAAGGATCTTGGGCCTACAGAAGCAGCTGGATGAGCTCAAGAAGGCTTCTATGCGACCCTTTCGCATCTCCAAGTTGTGCCCAATGGTGAACAAGGGCTTACTGGACTCAGGGGCAACACACCCTTTGCGAGCCAAAAGAAAGGGAGAATGTCTTCACCATCTACCAAAGGTCAAGGTGACGCTGGCAGGTGACAAGGAGATCTATATGGCACTCACTCCAACGGGAGTCATTGTGGGCGAAGAAGGCATGGAGCCCATAGTGCCCATGGGATTGCTGACTGCAGTCCTTGGATGTGAAATCTCATGGAAGCCAGAAGGTCTTCAGGTGGTGCACCCAGTGCTTGGCAAGTTGGAGGTGGTGGTTGAAGCTGGATGTCCAATGGTATCACAGTCCACGGCCATGAAGCTCATCGAGGAGATTGAGGCCAAGGCCGTGAAGGTTGTGAAAAGTTTGAAAACGGGGGAGGACTCAGAAGAGGCATGGTTGAGAAGGTTGGTTGATGAACACCCAGCTCTTCAAGGAATCCCTGAGGAGGTAAAGAGAAGCTTGGTGGAGAAGCCTGCAACGGACATCCTACCGTTGGGAAACAGAAGAAGAAGGAAACTTTGGAGGGCGAAGGGTATGATGATTCACGCCTTTTCGGGAAAGAATGAAGGCTACACATTGGGAAGGGCTTTTCATGAGATTGGAGGTGATCGTCGATTGATGTATGAGTTTGACATCACCCATGGAAAGCCTGAAGCAGATCTTTCACCTGAAGGTGAGGCCTACCCGCTCTTGTTGAGGGCAGCTTTGGATGGATTGGTGAAGGGTTGGATAGCCGGGCCACCATGCAGGACCAGATCGGTTCTCAGACATCTTGAAGTTCCAGGGGAAGCCATGCCGAGGCCTCTGAGAAGTTGGAATGGAGGGGAGTTTGGCATAGAAGGGCTTTCGAACTTTGAGAAAGAGCAGGTCACCTTGGATGACACGTTGCTCATGCGGTTTTTGGTTCTCTACATTGTGTCAGAGACGGTGCGCAGAGCAGCTGGGCTAGAGACACCCACCACTTTGATCCTGGAGCAGCCTGCCTCACCTGAACACAAGCCTGAAGTGGTGTCGCTTTGGAGAACACCTCAATGGAAGAGCTTGGCCGAGATCTATGAGCTGCAGACCCAGCGTTTTGACCAGTCAGAGTTTGGGGCCATAGCTACAAAGCCAACGACTATAGGAGGAAATCTGCCACTTCAAGTACCACTTCAAGGAAAGAAAGGGCAACCACGTGATGTCTCTGGAATGACCAAGGCAGAGATCTGCGAATCGTCCAGGAGATTGTCACGGTGGCCACCCTTGATGATGAGGTCCATTGCTGTTGCTCTCCAAACCTGCACCATGGGCGAAGAGGTCAAGTTACGGGCAGTTTCATGGCAGGAGCACATTGCAGCAGGCCATACTCCTTTTAGAAGAGATTGCAGAGTGTGCCAAGAGGCCTGTGCGCGTGATGCTCATCATCGGCGGCAGAAATTGCCACCAAAGGCGGGTGTCCTTAGTGTGGACATCTCAGGACCTTTCAAAGAAGCACCTGATTTGCAGAAGAAGAAGGCGAAGTATCTCCTGGTAGCCAGCTTCACTTGGACAGCCAGGAACCAAGATGGAGAGGAGGAGGTTGAGGAGATACCTGAAGTTCCCCCAGATGCGCCGGAGATTGAGGATCCAGAAGCAGAGGAGGAGCTACAGCAGATTGCAGATCAGGTTGAAAACCCAGAAGAAGGCCCAAAGGAGGACACATCAGAGGAGCTTGAAGAAAGAAAGCCGGTGAGGATTGAGGTCACCAAGCTTTGCGAGCCTTTGGCATCAAGGAGCCAAGAGGATGTGTCCAGGGCGATCATCAACATGTACATGCGTCTGAGAGCAGACGGGTATCGAGTGACACAGCTGCATAGCGACAGAGGAGCTGAGTTCAGATCGAGGATTTTGGAAAAATGGTGCCTGTCACGCACCATCCTTCAGACGTTTACGCCTGGGGATCAGCCCCAAATGAATGGACGTTGTGAAGCGATTGTCCAGCACATCAAGGCAGCCATCAGGCGGACACTTCATGGAGCTGAAGCACCTTTTGATCGCTGGCCAATTGCAGCTCGCTTCATCAATGAGAAGTTGCGACAGAAGCAGGTTGACAAGGAGAAAAAGACACCGCCTTTTTTGGCGCAAGTTTTGGTCAGAAAGAGGTTTTGGAGATCACGAGAACTGGAACCAACACAGGAGAAGGTCACTTACCTATGTCCTTCTTGGGTTCATCATGGGCATTGGATTGAAAGGGCAGATGGAACTCAGGCGCTGACGAAGATGGTCATGCAGGGCTTGAGTGAACCACCAAAGTTGGAGGATTGGATTGGAGTTGAAGATGCCTTGAACCCAATCGAAGAGAGGAGAAGAATCAGACACAAAGCGTCCATATACATGCTGGAGGTTGAGGACGCCGCGGAAGCAGATGAACTTGAGAACCAAGAAGGAGATGGCAGATCACCAAGTTTTGAGGAGGAAGAAAAGGATGCATGGGCCAAGAAACAAAGGGTCCAACGTTTGATAGAGGAGGAGATGGTTGAGGCCATGGAAGATGATGAGAAAGTTGCTGGCATGGTGCTGGATTCCATCACCATGGTCAAAGAGTTGATTGGACCTGAGAAAGGAGAAGAAGTTTTGCAGACACGCATTGTGTCACAAGCTGAAGTTCGCCGTTCCATTGAGGTTTGGAGGCCATCCATCGAGAAAGAGCTGACCTCCTTGTTTGAGACGAAAGGGGCGCTGAGAAAGATCACAGAAGCTGAGGTGAAGAAGCTGCTTGACGAAGATCGAGCAGAACTTATCCCTAGCAAGCTGGTCTTCACAGTCAAGCCAGATCAGACCAACAAGGGTGGCAAGAAAAAGACACGATTGGTGGCTTGTGGGAACTTCTCAGAAAGAGAAGAAGGGCAAGATCTCTTTGCAGGCGGAGCATCAGCAGTGGCACTTCGAGCTGCATTGACGGTGGCATCACAATTTGGTTTTGAAGGGAGCGTCATGGATGTGAGGACAGCATTTTTAAATGCTCCAATGGTTTTGTCCGGGTCAAAGGATGAGAATGGGGAGAAGATGGAGCCTAGAAGAGCCATCATCCGCCCTCCTGCTCTTCTCATTTTGGCTGGATTGGCCAAGCCAGACGAATTCTACGAGGTCATCATGGCCCTCTACGGCTACAAGGAGTCACCCAAATTGTGGTCAGACTACCGTGATCAGGAGATTGCAAAGATGGAGTTACCATGCGAGGGTGGCATTTTGACCTTGCAGCAAATGATCACGGAGCCAAACATGTGGAGAATGATGCTGAAGCAACCAGGTCCCAACTTGCAGACGAATGAGGAAGAGTTTGTGGGACTACTTTTGGTCTATGTGGATGATCTTCTGGTCCTTGGTTTTCCCTCATCCATCGCTGCAGTCATTCAAGGGGTGCAGGCGAAATGGGAGACATCGGAGCCAGAGACCATCAACATGCAGAAGGAGGTGAGATTTTTGGGCGCGGAGCTATGGAGAAGAGAAGATGGAGCCTGGTTGATGACGCAGACAAACTACATCAAGGACTTGCTGAAAAGAAATCTTGGAGCAGATCCCACTACGTGGCCGACTAGAAAGATTCCTTTGGTGAAGGAGCCCGAGGTCATTGAAGGTGAGGAGAAGACTCCAATGGCAGTCAAAGAAGCCCAGCGAGTCATTGGTGAATTGGTTTGGATCACTGCCAGGTCCAGGCCTGATTTGGCTTTCACTGTCTCCAAGCTGGCGTCATTGATCACAAAGTCACCTATGCAGGTTGTGCAGTTGGTGAAACCAGTGTGGTACTATTTGGCAGCCACCATGGACCAAGGTTTGATTTTTCAGAACAACATGGGCGAGAAGCAGCTCAATGTGTACACGTATGCATTATATAGCGATATCTCATTTGGATGCCATTTGATCCTTTGGGGATCGTCGCTGTTGCTCTGGAAGGCTGGCAAGCAGCCCATTCAAGCTGCATCGACGGCCGAGGCCGAACTTGTGGAGGTACTTGAAGGAGCATTGGCGGGAGATGCTGTCAAGGTCGTTTTGGAGGAGGCATTGGATGTTTGTGCTAGGTCATTTTCCTACACAGACAGCTCAGCGGCATTAGCCATCATTGCCGGAGATACTGGATCTTGGCGGACACGCCATTTGCGGAAAAGGGCCTTCATTTTGCGCTCAAGAGTTTTGTCTGGGGAATGGATGCTCCGGCATTTGCCTGGAGCTGAGATGCCAGCTGACCTGGGCACCAAAGTTTTATCGGTGCAGAAGTTCAACCAGCACAAAGAAACCATGGGCATGTTTTTGGAAGGTTGGAAAGTTTTGGAAAAGATAGAAGACGGAGAACAGAATGAAACCACTTTTGGGATGACACAAGAAGCACGTGAGAAAGCGTTGAAGATCATCATTTTGGTGACAAAATTGGCGCTTGCAGGAGCATCGAATGAGGAGAAAAAAGATATTTCAAATGCTTTGGTCATTCAAGACCTCAATCCAGTTTTGCAGCAGAGAGACGGTCAGTTTTATTTCATCATGTTTGTGGCTGTGATCCTTTTTGCCGGTTTCATCATTGGAGCATGCGTCATGGGCATTTTCATGTGGCACAGAGTTGACAAGCTCACTGTTGTCAAATACAAAGGTTCATTGCTGAACGTGCCTGCGTTTTTGTGGCATGCGCCAGAAAGAGATGAGGATGAAAGAAATCAGCAGCAACGTGATCCAACTGTCAGGCCAAATTGGTTGCCTTCTACGGCTGCTGGCGCTGCGGGCGCTTCACCTACGGCTGCTGGCCGTGCTGCGGGCGCTGGATCTGCGGCTGCTGGCGCTGCAGGCGCTTCATCTACGGCTGCTGGCCGTGCTGCTGGCGCTGCAGGCGCTTCATCTACGGCTGCTGGCCGTGCTGCTGGGGCTGCGGGCGCTTCATCTAGTGCTGCTGGCCGTGCTGCTGGCGCTGCGGGCACTTCATCTACGGCTGCTGGCTGTGCTGCTGACGCTGCTGGCGATGGAAATACGGCTGCTGGCCGTGCTGCGGGCGCTGCATCCACAGCTGCTGGCAGTGCTGATGGCGCTCCAAGAAGTTATGGAGCAGCTGGCATTCCTAGCGCTGCAGCTGGCGCGGCAGATGGCGGCGCAGCGGCGCGTGAGCCGGCGAACATGTTGAGATCAAGAGGATCTCGTTCCCAAAGAGGACCAAAACCCCTTTTCACCACGCCATTTGGTGGAAGATACCACTGTGACCGTGAATGCCATGGTCTTAGACATGCCAAGGAAGTTTGTCTGACGCCACGATGTCACAGATGTGGCCCACAGTCAGACGTTCCCCAACATAGGCTGTATGCGATCTCACATGGATATGCACTTCATGTTGATTATGAGCATTGTCGTGATGCGGGATCCAATGGTCCACTTCGGGCCTTCAATCCATGTGCGATTTGCTGCACTGCAGATGATAGACTTGTTTAGAGGGCTTGAGCTGAATATGTGGTCAGTGGAACTGATCACATAGGGGGAGTGCGTGTGAGAATTTCATGCATCCCTATTTATCCAATTCTCAAATGGAAATACTTCCACTTTTGCTTTGACTACTACCCAACGGGTGTAGTCCAGACTACTACCCTCCGGGTGTAGTCTAGGAATCTTGAAGAACCTGCATCTGGGCCGGACCGAAGCCCTTTAGATGTCAAGTGGCACAAAGGTGCGTCAGCTGGCAGCGAGGTGGCTGCTTGGAGTTTTGGGGAAACTTGGTTTTGTTTTTTGGGTTGAAACATTCTTTTTCCGGTTGGAGTCGAGATCTCAGTTGCTGTTCAGGGTTCCAGGACGGTTCACTTGTTGGCATTGGGAGGCTTCAGGAAACACAGAAACGACTGGAAAAGCTGGAGCACAGGCCCGGCAGCTGGCCACAAAGCGCTCGCCAAGGCGCTGCGGAGGGTTTGAGGCCGGGCTAGTGCCTAAGGTTGCTTTCTGAAGCCACTAGAAAAGACTGGAAAAGCTGGAGCACAGGCCCGGCAGCTGGTCACAAAGCGCCCGCCAAGTTCTGAAGCCACTAGAAAAGACTGGAAAAGCTGGAGCACAGGCCCGGCAGCTGGCCACGAAGCGCCCGCCAAGGCGCTGCGGAGGGTTTGAGGCCGGGCTAGTGCAGGCCCGGCAGCTGGAAGCGCCCGCCAAGGGGCTGCGAGGGTTTGAGGCCGGGCTAGTGCCTAACGTTGCTTTCTGAAGCCACTAGAAAAGATTAGAAAAGCTGGAGCACAGGCCCGGCAGCTGGCTACGAAGCGCCCGCCAAGGCGCTGCGGAGGGTTTGAAGGCGGGCTAGTGCCTAACGTTGCTTTCTGAAGCCACTAAAAAAGATTGGAAAAGCTGGAGCACAGGCCCGGCAGCTGGCCACGAAGCGCCCGCCAAGGCGCTGCGGAGGGTTTGAAGCCGGGCAAGTGCCTAACGTTGCTTTCTGAATCCACTAGAAAAGACTAGAAAAGCTGGAGCACAGGTCCGGCAGCTGGCCACAAAGCGCCCGCCAAGGCGCGGCGGAGGGTTTGAAGCCAGGCTAGTGCCTAACGTTGCTTTCTGAAGCCACTAGAAAAGACGGGAAAAGCTGGAGCACAGGCCCGGCAGCTGGCCACGAAGCGCCCGAAGGCGCTGCGGAGGGTTTGAGGCCGGGCTAGTGCCTAACGTTGCTTTCTGAAGCCACTAGAAAAGACTGGAAAAGCTGGAGCACAGGCCCGGCAGCTGGCCACGAAGCGCCCGCCAAGGCGCTGCGGATGGTTTGAAGCCAGGCTAGTGCCTAACGTTCGTTTCTGAAGCCACTAGAAAAGATTGGAAAAGCTCGAGCACAGGCCCGGCAGCTGGCCGCGAAGCGCCCGCCAAGGCGCTGCGGAGGGTTTGAAGCCAGGCTAGTGCCTAACGTTGCTTTCTGAAGCCACTAGAAAAGATTGGAAAAGCTCGAGCACAGGCCCGGCAGCTGGCCACAAAGCGCCCGCCAAGGCGCTGCGGAGGGTTTGAAGCCAGGCTAGTGCCTAACGTTGCTTTCTGAAGCCACTAGAAAAGATTGGAAAAGCTCCGAGCACAGGCCCGGCAGCTGGCCACAAAGCGCCCACCAAGGCGCTGCGGAGCGTTTGAAGCCAGGCTAGTGCCTAACGTTGCTTTCTGAAGCCACTAGAAAAGATTGGAAAAGCTGGAGCACAGGCCCGGCAGCTGGCCACAAAGCGCCCGCCAAGGCGCTGCGGAGGGTTTGAGGCCGGGCTAGTGCCTAACGTTGCTTTCTGAAGCCACTAGAAAAGATTAGAAAAGCTGATCCACAGGCCCGGCAGCTGGCCACGAAGCGCCCGCCAAGGCGCTGCGGAGGGTTTGAAGCCAGGCTAGTGCCTAACGTTGCTTTCTGAAGCCACTAGAAAAGATTGGAAGAGCTGGAGCACAGGCCCGGCAGCTGGCCACGAAGCGCCCGCCAAGGCGCTGCGGAGGGTTTGAAGCCAGGCTAGTGCCTAACGTTGCTTTCTGAAGCCACTAGAAAAGATTGGAAATGCTGGAGCACAGGCCCGGCAGCTGGCCACAAAGCGCCCGCCAAGGCGCTGCGGAGGGTTTGAAGCCGGGCTAGTGCCTAACGTTGCTTTCTGAAGCCACTAGAAAAGATTGGAAAAGCTGGAGCACAGGCCCGGCAGCTGGCCACGAAGCGCCCGCCAAGGCGCTGCGGAGGGTTTGAGGCCGGGCTAGTGCCTAACGTTGCTTGATGAAGCCATTAGAAAAGACTGGAAAAGACTGGAAAAGCTGGAGCACAGGCCCGGCAGCTGGCCACAAAGCGCCCGCCAAGGCGCTGCGGAGGGAAGCCGGGCTAGTGCCTAACGTTGCTTTCTGAAGCCACTAGAAAAGACTGGAAAAGGGGAAAAAGGGGGGGGAAAGAGGGGGAAGGGGGAAAAGCTGGAGCCACAGGCCCGGCAGCTGGCCACGAAGCGCCCGCCAAGGCGCTGCGGAGGGTTTGACGCCGGGCTAGTGCCTAACGTTGCTTTCTGAAGCCACGAGAAAAGATTGGAAAAGCTGGAGCACAGGCGCGGCAGCTGGCCACGAAGCGCCCGCCAAGGCGCTGCGGAGGGTTTGAGGCCGGGCTAGTGCCTAACGTTGCTTTCTGAAGCCACTAGAAAAGACTGGAAAAGCTGGAGCACAGGCCCAGCAGCTGGCCACAAAGCGCCCGCCAAGGCGCTGCAGAGGGTTTGAGGCCGGGCTAGTGCCTAACGTTGCTTTCTGCAGCCACTAGAAAAGACTAGAAAAGGTGGAGCACAGGCCCGGCAGCTGGCCACGAAGCGCCCGCCAAGGCGCTGCGGAGGGTTTGAGGCCGGGCAAGTGCCTAACGTTGCTTTCTGAAGCCACTAGAAAAGACTAGAAAAGCTGGAAAAGCTGGAGCACAGGCCCAGCAGCTGGCCACGAAGCGCCCGCCAAGGCGCTGCGGAGGGTTTGAGGCCGGGCTAGTGCCTAACGTTGCTTTCTCTGCTGAAGTGCCGAACTAGAACGATTGGAATCGGCTGGAGTAGCAGGCCCAGTCGCAGAACTGCCACCAGCGGATGCGCCAAGGCAGCTGCGGAGGGATTTGAGGCACCAGGGCTAAGTGGCCTAACGTTGCTTCTTCTGCAGAGCCCACTAGAAAACAGACTAGAAAAGGATCACAGTGCCCGGTATGCTGGCCACCGAGACGGGCCCTGCCCAAGGGACGGGCGCTGCGGGAGGGTTTTGAGGGCTCGGGGCTATTGTCGGCTTACGTTGCTTTTCCCACATGAGCCACTAGAAAAGACTAGAAAAGCTGGAAAAGCTGGAGCACAGGCCCAGCAGCTGGCCACGAAGCGCCCGCCAAGGCGCTGCGGAGGGTTTGAGGCCGGGCTAGTGCCTAACGTTGCTTTCTGAAGCCACTAGAAAAGACTGGAAAAGCTGGAGCACAGCCCCAGCAGCTGGCCACAAAGCGCCCGCCAAGGCGCTGCGAAGGGTTTGAGGCCGAGCTAGTGCCTAACGTTGCTTTCTGAAGCCACTAGAAAAGACTGGAAAAGCTGGAGCACAGGCCCAGCAGCTGGCCACAAAGCGCCCGCCACGGCGCTGCGGAGGGTTTGAGGTCGGGCTAGTGCCTAACGTTGCTTTCTGCAGCCACTAGAAAAGATTGGAAAAGCTCGAGCAGAGGCCCGGCAGCTGGCCACAAAGCGCCCGCCCAGGCGCTGCGGAGGGTTTGAAGCCAGGCTAGTGCCTAACGTTGCTTTCTGAAGCTACTAGAAAAGTCTGGTCAAAGGCCCGGCAGATGGCCACAAAGCGCCGGCCAAGGCGCTGCGGAGGGTTTGAAGGCAGGCGAGTGCCTAACGTTGCTTTCTGAAGCCACTAGAAAAGTTGTGTGCAAAGGCCCGCAGTACTGGGCAAAGGCCCGGCAGATGGCCAAAAGCGCCGGCAAAGGCGCTGCGGAGCGTTTGAGGGCAGGCTACAACTTTTTCTCGGGCGCGCTCCCCCTGCCGTTTGCTGGGGTCGGCGGATTTTTTCATGGTTTTGGATGGTTGATACCCATTTTGTTATGGTTTTGGATGGTTGATACCCATATTTTTTTTATGGTTTTGGATGGTTGATACCCATATTTTTTCATGGTTTTGGATGGTTGATACCCATATTTTTTTTATGGTTTTGAATGGTTGATACCAAATTTTTTTCATGGTTTTGGATGGTTGATACCCATATTTTTTTATGGTTTTGAATGGTTGATACCAAATTTTTTTCATGGTTTTGGATGGTTGATACCCATATTTTTTCATGGTTCTGGATGGTTGATACCCATATTTTTTCATGGTTTTGGATGGTTGATACCCATTTTGTTATGGTTTTGGATGGTTGATACCCATATTTTTTTTATGGTTTTGGATGGTTGATACCCATATTTTTTCATGGTTTTGGATGGTTGATACCCATATTTTTTCATGGTTTTGGATGGTTGATACCCATATTTTTTTATGGTTTTGGATTGTTGATACCAATTTTTTTTATTGTTTTGGATGGTTGATACCCATATTTTTTCATGGTTTTGGATGGTTTATTGATGTTTGATATCTTAAGAATGGATGGTTTATCGTCAACATCAACCATCCAAACCGAAGAAACCATCCTGCAGACCTTCAAAGCACGCCTGGGTGGAGCGAGCAAAGGTGCGGTCGCCTGGTGAGGGATCTTACCCTCTGATGATGTAGCTATGGAAGCCATGGCCCATCTATATCAATATGGGTGTGTCTGAAAATAGTGTACCCCTAAACCCAATGGTTAATGATCATTATCCCTATTAAATGGCTATAATTGGGAATATACCATATTTTCAGACAAACCCATATGCTTTAGCTATGAAACATGGCAATTTTCGAGGATTTCCCATAGCTACGTTGAATTACCACAGGCTAGATGTTTTTTTTCTACATGTCACAAACACAGAAGACTCATGGGTGGAAAAGGAAGGAAATGATGTGTCGATTCATCATTTACATTCAACACATTTGACAAACTGTTTCATCGTGAATGAACAGAAATTAATGTCTTTTTTTGGTAATAGCCAGCAATCTCATATGAGTTTGTCCAAAAAATTACAGGGGTCACCATTTTCCGGTCTCTTTTTATGAGGAAAATGATTTTCTCAACCATAAATTCTCAACCATGATATTTTGGGGTACCCTCTTTGTAGACAAACATAAAGATCAACATCTGGGACAGTTCAAAATCAAATTTAGTGAATATTCCTGAAATATATATGATATGGGGCATGGCACATCATGGCACCTATGGGGCCTAATGTTGAAATTAAGGTCTCGACACATAAAACACATGAAATGGAAAATCATCGAAAACAGGGCCAAGTAGGGTCATTTGGTTTACAGGGTCTTAAATCAACTTAAACAATATTGGTCCATGACGTACAGAACCAGGACAAATGATGACAAATGTGCACATCCACCAACAGAAACTTAAGTTGATGCATGGATGGTGAGACTTATCAACCGCCAAACATGGATGATTTACCAAGGAACTGGCCACAAAATTGCGGCTTGTTGGGTGCATCGTTTCATCATCGGATGTCAGGCTTTAAGCTCCTGAAAAAGAAGCGTGACGCGCTCAAGGCAAAATTTCAGGTGGGCAACTCAATCCAAAAGGTGCCAGCTTTGCCGATCATCAGCTGGGGGTCTCTATCCAATTTTCTTGATCTATAAAAATTAATCATCACGTGTCACAAACCACCAAACCAAGCATTGCGTTCCCAACAGTTTTTACATATATCATCTGAAATCGGTGTGAATCGGTGTGAAAGAGGGATCAGCTAGCCCTCGGAGAGGGTGATGTTCGACGAGGATATGAATATATTATAATATATTATATACATATATTCTATGTAGATACACATATTGTGTAAGGAACCCCAAGCAGGAATCTAAACCAGCAAACATTGAGCTCAGTCAAGGCGCTGCTGAAAGAAATCGTGGACACCAAGTTGAAGGTTGGCGACTTTTTCGGTGATTGATTCACCTCATGTCCACAACCTTCCACAACGCCGAAACAAAAAATGCTGGTTGGTGGTTGCAGACATCCTGAATCTTCCACCTTCCCCATAAAAATGACATCATGATCTAGAATGACTCGGTATTAGATCCCATTTAAACCACGATTTTTAATAAAAAAACATATGAAGCTCCCATTCATAGCCCCCATGAGTCAGCTTCCCTCAAAACACATCGCCCAAAGGTGGGCGAAGGCCTGAAGGAAGGCGCTTTCGCCTTGGCCAAGGCACACTACGTGGGGTCGCCTGGGTCGCCTCAGCTGCCTGGAGGTCGTACTCAGATGGTTTTCTCAGGTGTCCGGAGGAATCCTGCATATTTATTTCATTTTGTTTCTTTTTGCTTGTGAAATCCCAATTATATTGTTGACATCTACACTTTTTGGTTGGAAAATCTCCTTGCGGACAGGGGCTGCTTTTTTTTTGGGGCATTTTCATTCTAAGGCCAGTTCGGGTGACGACATCTCCTCAACAGTCGGAAGCCAAGAGAAGAAATCGTTGTATACATTTGTATACTATATATATAATTATATATACCGGAGTTTTTGTGGTTGATGGGGGGATGGACATCCACGAACATTAACGAAATTTGGTGTCAAAACCTGCAGAGTATCAGGGTGATCTGACTTCGAACTAGTGCGGCCAATCGATGTCGACTTCGTGACCGACCCTCGCCTCGCCGCAAGTGATTAATGGAGAGAAGTTGTATGGGAGTGTGATCCTGTATCCTGCTCAGACAAGCCAATACAAGCCATTTCAAGAGGCTCTTCATCCCACTTCCCAAAGCCCAATCCGTTTCCAGGTCATTGAAAGGGCAAAGAGGCGACTGCTGGTGCCGTAAAACACCGATTTTGCAGCCCAGACTCCCAGAGCACTGGCAGGCCGTCCATCACCACGAAGCTCTATCCGGACAACGTGGCCGGCGTGTCGATTCCCGTGTTCAAGATGAACTACGACGCGACCAAGGCATGCCGGGCTGAAAACCCCAAGGATTTGCCGAAAAAAATGGATGGGAGAAGTAGAAACCAATCCATATGGAGGTTATCGCATTGGGTTGATGCCAGATTCGTTTGTTGGGGGACTGGTTGATGATGTAGTGAATCTCCCAAATTAGAAACATATGATTCGGCAACCCAAATTCATGATCCGGGAGCACGGCATGCAATATGGGTATGGGTCAAAACCCTGGTACCTAGTGAACCCCAAAATAGCTGGTAAATGGATGTTCATCCCACTAAAAATGTATCTATAGGTATTGACCCATCCCCATATAAGTCCCAATATGTTGTTCCTCAAATTCGCAACTTGCGCTGAAGTCCACTCCTCGTTATTTTTGGGTCAAACTCCCATGCTGTGGGATTCGAATTCCGATGTTTTGCAGGGTTTTTAACTCCGCTTTTAGACTGGTGAAAGACTCACCAAAACTCCAAACGTTGTCCGGTTTGACCCCCCACTTAGTTCATAGATTTGGAGTTGGTTTCTATAAACCCACTCTTTCTGGGACAGTTGACCGCTCATTTCATGTCTGTTACAGCCAACTTCAGGACTCGAGCGCCCAGAGCATCGGCGTGGCATGTGGTGGTGCAGTGATCAATGCGGCACGGGAGACCTATCGCAAGGCGGAACTCGGGGATGGGTCGAAAGGGTTGGGTTGTCTGGGGCTGGCTGAGATATGGGATTGGATATGGTCTGATCCTTGAGAAACAAATCGATTTGAACAGGAGGCAGGATTATACAAGTGAGATTTCATCTGTTAGCCAACAGAAATTGACAGGAAATATAGGATCTAGATGGATCTACCCCAACGAATGATGATCGGTTATGACCGTCATTCCTTTCCCACTAGTTGGATCATGTTAGATCATAATTTCAGGAGTACCCCTAATGAGCAATTCATACAAGGTGGTGCCCCCAAGTTATAAGTGGGTTTATACAGCCATCTAACTGCGGATATATCTACCATAAAGCCAATCGCCAGCCTAGGTTTAAGCCAACTTGGGGATGAACAGTTGGGTTTTGGGGCACTGAAACCAGTTTTTTTTTCACCCCTAGCTGTTGGTTCTGGTTTGATTCATTCATGGTTCCAAGGAGCTGAGCCACATCACCAAATGGTGATAACTGGCAGTTTGTAGAGCTCCCGGTGGAACGCTTCAATCTGCATAAGTTGTTCTCCTGTTTGTTGTTTGACATCGGATAGCCCTCATCTTTCTCAATCTCAATCTCCGTCTTTCTCAGGGATAGGTGAATACCTTACATCAACATACATCAACATACCATTTTTTTTTGGCTGTGATTCACATCATTTCACATCCATCAATTCAAGCTATTTTTTGGGGCTTAGGACGGGATTTTTGGCGTTGGTGAACTGACCATTGCCGGCGGGACCTTCTCAGTCGCGTAGGCGGTCATCAGCCTGGTGAAATTGGCGTCCCTGCAGACCGCCTTCCATACTCTGGATGAGGATGTCAGAGACATGTGGCCGTTTTGGGTGTGTCTAAACCATTGGGTTTAATGGGGTTTAATGTGGGGAAAAATGGGCTTTGATGAGATTATCATGGGATTTTTAATCCGGATGTGAATGCGATATATTCCCATTATAATTGGGAATGGAATATCCAACCAGCAACGATATGATATGGGGTAGTCTCAAAATGGGGAATCTACCTTCCAAATGGCAATGAAATATTTGAAGGACAATGATAATCAATTAATGGATTTGGGATCTTCATCCAATATTTTGTGGGAGTCATGATTGCCCAGTTTTCATTTGATCGGTTCTTGTTTGATTGGTTACCAGTATAGCAATCAACCATAGACACCTGGACACTCTAAGGTAAACATCAGCAGTGACATCCTCCAAAAACCGTTCTTCTTCTTTGCAGTTTCATTTAACATGATGCATCCAATTTAGATGCACGTTTTTTGGAACCCTTGCATGATGTTCCAATGGCTTTAAAGAACTATAGTCAATGTTGACGCAGGAATTATCCTGCGTTCAATTTTCTGGATTTCATGAGAAAATCAGTTTTCCACACATTGACTGGTTAGAGTGATCCATTTCTTTGATGTCGACACCATTGGACTGAGCTACGGAGAACAGCCCCGTCACTCCAGGAGATTAAGATGACGAGCCGGCGCGTGAATGCCCTGGAGTATGTGTTGATCCCCCGGATCGAAGATATCATTCACTACATCACCCAGGACACATAAAGGGCATACCTGGGGGAACCGTCAAACGAGAAAACACGTCAGAAAACAAAGCGTTCAAGAACATAAAAAAAGTAATTATACAGCACACCATTGTTTTTCTTGTCGAGGGGAGGGAGGGTACGGTGCTGCAGGAAATGGACGAACAGGCGAGAGAGGAGTTCTTCCGCGTTAAGAAGGCTCTGGCGTCGGAGGATTTTCTTTCTGGAGGGTGCCACCCTCTTTTTGGATTTTTTTGGATCCTGCAAAAACATGAACTTTGTGGTGAAGACTTAAAATCTTCGGCTGACAATAGCCTGGCGTGGCAGCTCCTACTTTGGAGACCCAAAGGCATAAGATTTGAATCCAACAACCCATTCAGTTGGCTTTTCTTTCATATGGACCCAATCACCCCCCAGGTGCTGGGGAGGATGGTGGTGAAATTCTGCTGGTAGGTGGTGGAAAAGAAGAAGATCAAGCTGCAAAGGGAGAAGGCAGGGAGGTAGTTGCAGCAGTTTTGGGTTGGCAGACTAGTATGATCTAGTATGTAGTTCATATTAGTTAATGGGATATTGAACACCAAACAAATGGGCATACAATATGGGGAGATCGTGGGAATATTGTGAGGATAGATATGTTGATACAATGAAATTCATGGATAGTGCGGACAATTTGTGGTCCAGAGGGCACAGCGAAAGCAGTGTCGCTTTGGCCTTCGTTGTGCCTCACGCCGGGCGTGCTAAATCGCATACCCTGCGAATTGGGCGAGAAGCTGTGAAACATCTCAAAAGTGTCTGACATTGGAAACTGTGCCGCCAGACAATCTGACAAAAATCCCTTCAGTTGGCCAAACAATCTGAAGGTCAACTTTGTTTCGATCATGAAACACAACCTGATCGAAATCTTCAACAACAGACAAAAGCCAAATGATAGCCTTCCTCACACACCTCAGCAAATAAGCAAAAGTTGGCCTTTCATAGCGGAAAGAGAGGGCATGGAGTTCCGTCTCCCCTGAAACTGGATGATTGAAGGAAAAATGCAAAGAAAAGCCCTTGATCAGCCGAAATCGTCAACTCTTCACACTAAAACCCTCATCACTATGGTCAAATAAGTGCGTGATCAGGGACGAAACAAAGGCCATGGGTAAATCCGAAGGCCTAGAATCCGATGCCTGCAAAAGTCCATTGAGACAAGGAATGTACAAATTGCTGCTGTTGAACGGCAGTGTGAAGATGTGCCAATTGCTCATCTTGATTTGCCAAGCGCGTTCCAGTCTCCTTGAACCAGGAGCGGAACGTGGCGTTGTGAGCCTTGATCTCCTCCATGTCGGTCTCCAGCTTGTGGATGCGAGAGGAGTCAGCTGCAAATTCAGCACCACAGTTCTGAGAGAGGGTGCCTTGAACATCAGAGGTGAGCTTGTCCACCAGTGCATCATACTGCTTGGAGTTGCTAGCACCATTTGAGATAGCAGCCCCCTTGTAGATCCTTGTAGCATTGCCAAGGGTCTTGCGCAGGAGACAGCCAAGGATCAGCAGTAGTCGATGAAGATGCAGCATCAGCAGCGTGACTGCGGAGATGTTTTTGCGCTCGAGATGGGCCAACCACTGTGCCACTGTGGGGGTTTTGTCAGCTGCCGACTTGTCCTTGACCAACGAAATCAAAACATCCTTGTTGAATGCAGGCAACACGTTGGCTGGTGGCTCGGTGGAAGCACCCACTGCCTTCAGCTGATCCCCGTGAGGGCTGAAGTGGTTTCGGTTGCCACTTCCATTCCTTGAGCAACTGGACGACTTGCTGTCGTTGGAGCCCATGTGGCAAAGGGTGCAAGCGTTAGATCTTGGAAATGTCAACCTTGAGAAAGCTCTCACCAGGCCGTAGGTCTCGATGAGCAGCTTCTTCAGTGGCAATGACACGGATCCCATAGCGACTCTTCATCTTCACCAATGAAAGTCCATGAGTGGTGAGCTTCAGCCGATGATTATGTTTCTGTTTGACTGGAAATTGTTGTGTGGCAATGTGACTTCGAAACAAGATGACAAACGTCATCCACGGTTTGTCCAGTGAAATGCCAAAAGACTCTGCTCCAAAGTTCCATGGGTAGTTTGTGGTTGGCCGGGTTACTGGGAAAACCGTCAGCTATACAAGTGAGAAATCCTTGAAGCAGTTTCATGTACATATGTTATCATTGCTTACTTAATATGACCTGATGCCTGATATGTTTTTTAGAATTATGGATGATAGAAATTACCTGATTACAGAGCACAGCAAATAAATGAATTACATTACATTTGCTATGTGTCATCATTGTCATCATTGTTTACTTCATCGTAATATTTGAATCTATACAGGCATTATATAATATTAATATATATATATATTATATGTGTTTGTATATGTATAGATGATAGAAATTAGCTGGTGCTGGTTACAGAGCACAAATGTTGATCATTGCTGGTCTTCTTGAACCAAAGCTGGTGACCTGGTGACCCCAAGGCCCAAGGTTCTCAGGCACGTCACAGGGTATTTGTCTTCGTTCCGGATATTTTACTCTCCAACATATTGGGGATTTATGATGCTGATGCAATAATATGCAATAATAATATCCAAAGAAGTACCTATTCATCCTATTCACCAACCAATTTTCGATGGAATGGGAAGCCGATGGTCCAAGCACCTCTTGTTCTCGTCCCCCTAAACCAGGATGAAATGGCCAAGGTGCCGTCCTCAGGGGCGCGGTGAGAGGCCCCGAACAAACAACTCGAAACATGTGGAATAGCAGTGGAAAACCACGTCATCATCGTCGAATAGACAGGCGTAGGTAACCGCGATACCTATTGAAAACCGTGATTTTGTTCCATTGCCAGGTGGACCGTCCCTTGGAATGATTGTTCAATAGGGAGACGATCCCCCATCAAAAGGGTTCCCTGGATCCGTTGGGCGTTTCCAAGGCTGGCGTCAAAGCCGAGGAGCGGGAAAATTGGAGAAGGGATGTGGGTAGATCCAGTAAGTCCCCAAATGTTGATGAATTGTTTTGTCATTTTGTCCTGGTTTGTTTGGAGAAAATCGGACGACTTGGGGCAACCTTGGGACATGTCTGAGTGGCTTCATGATGTTTCTGATTCTAGTGGACGACGATCATCATTTCAGGTTTTTTCACCAGACCGATCAGACCGTTGATCGGAAAAACGGAGACCTCACAATGAAAATGGTGAATTCATGACCATCAACCGTCATCAACCATATTTGAAGGCGTTTCCCCGTTTCCATTCTTTTTTGGACTGTAGAACCAAAGTTCAAAATACATGACATACTTCACAACATGTTGTTTTTTTTGCAATATTCCAACAAAAATCAATGGTTTAAATGGGGCCTGCCATCCACATCCATCCACCAGTTATCTATTTTTTTTCAGGCTGCCATCGATGCGCCCAGCATGTTGACCTCAAAGAAGGCCCGGGACAGGCGAGTTGTCACCAGAAAATGGGAATCACCAAACTATGGGGATTTACCATGATTTACCAGAGGATTTTCTATGAAAAATAACCAATCAAACAAAAAGGGGATTTTCTCAATCAAACATGGGAATAGACACCTAAGAATTTCGAGAATCAGTTGGGGATTCATTCCATTGATTCAGCCGGGATTTGGTCACCAAGAACAGGTGGGGGACCAGCCGGATACACAAGGTTGACCCACATCCTTTCCACCATTGTGAAACTGTGAAACTCCAGGGACTTAGGAAAACTTGGGATATAAACCAAGAAGTCCACAGATGGGTTCCCTCATGTTACCAATCAAATTTGGGGAATTTACCCCACTGATATGGACGTAGCAGCATATAGTCCGCTGGACCCGCTGGATGATGGTGGTTTGTTGTGGGAGACAACCAGCAAAGTCATTGAGAATGGTTCCTTTGCGCTCGGGAGATATTGACGGTCAGACTCGAGCAAATTGAAGTGGTGGCAGGAATCAACAAACTTCACCTGGCTGGGACGGTGGTTGGCTAATTCAGGAATCTAATGAATCTAATGAATCTAACATATCAACCAACAGATCTGGGGATGATCGGTAGCTACCATAAACTATGCCATAAACTGATGGTGCCGTGTTGATGATCCTGCTATTTCTTGATGGCCATATTGGGAGACCGATGATCGAACATTCCTACCATGAATTGACAAACAGTATGATTTCAAATTGGTTGATCAAAGCCAGCATTGTATTGATGCAATTGATCAATGTCAACATCTTTGCTGAATAAGATTGAGTCCACCACTTGAACTGTACCAGTGAACATTCCGTTCTTTCTTACTGAAGGGTGTTTCATATTCCCGATCCCTGTCTTTGCTGCTTCAACGTGCATTTTGTTGGTTTATATATCCGGTCCTGGTTGGTTGATTCTCCGAGACTCTCCCCATCTTTCTGAGGAAAGTCAAAAAATCTTTGGCACTTTGGTTCATCTCATATTTTGTTGGTTCATATCCTTAATGTCTGTTAATTGATCTCAGAAATGTCTGTTGATATCAGATAAATATAGATAAATCAGATATATGAGATCAACAGATCAACAGCTATCAACAAAAGTACATTAATATCTTATATCTCCGATTTTTTTAAATATATCATATATCCCATATTTCTTTTAAACATATCAGATAAATCTCCCTATCTCTCAACCGGTCTCAATCTATGGCAATCTATGGCAGGATGATGACCTCATCTTTTGAGGATCGCGATGCGAAAATCTCCGCGCCCTGCGGGAAAAAAGCGGTGTGGGCCACCTGCGGTGTTTGCACTTGAGCCACTTGAGCCATTGACAAATCTCTTTAAACATACTCAGAACTGAAGGGTTGATGATGATTGATGGGTTCATAAATATGTTAAATTATGTTAAACTATGTTGATTTACCTGGATTTAACACTTGTTGATGGGTTGATATGGAAGATTTATGCTAAACTGATTTATTGGGGATGTTTTCACAATACCTATTTCTCAAGCAATACAAGTGGTGGGGACCAATATAGTGGGTTGAATATAGCATATTCATATTTATGCTAAATTTGTTTGTTGAAGATTATAAGCCATAGGAGGGATATACCTATTTTACCAGCGAATATGATGGGCTGCGGGAATCGCTTAACTTCTGGCTCACTTGAAGGATCAGTACCTACAGTACCTTAGCGACCAGTTGGCCCAATTTGGGCGGGAAGTTTGACCCAGAGGCACTTGTGAAGTGGCTTGGGACCCTGGTAACAACCCAATTCAAACAGATTCTTCCTGTGTGAACCCCCCATGGTCTGAAAATGACTGACCACTTCCTGTGCTTTCGTGTGATCTTTGGGCACGGGCTTGATCTTACTTGGACGGGATCAGAGACACTGTGGAGTGACGACTGATGGCATCATATGGGCCTTTCATGGTCTTTCTGTTGATTGGTGACATCTTGACGTCATATGTGTGGTCATCTGCTTTGCCTTGCCTGGCCTTGCTCCAGCCACGGCGACATCTGGCTCCAGTTGCCAACCGGGTGCGGATTTCTGGTGGTCCAAAGGACTCTCAGAGTCTGAACGGAACATCGTGGTGTTAGGCGTTTGTCTGGCAACTTGTTGCATCGGGTGTGGGTTGTTCTTTCTGCATCAATTCCTGGTGTGGAAGAAGGTCAGTTCACAACAGGCAAGGAGAGGGTTGCCTTGAACATCTTGAACTTGGCCCTCAAAAGAAACCTTCAGATCCGATACCTTCATGGTATTTACACATGACAGTTTCTCCGCTGCCAGGGAGTGGGAAAGTTCAAGCTGCAAGGGGAGGCACGGTGCAGCAGTTTGGGGTTGGGAGGATATCCGATACTGATACTGATACTGACCAACAAAGATGGGTTTACAAGACAAAAGAGCATGCGGATATTCACTTGGGAGATACATGGAGATACTGTACTATGCTTCTTTCAATGTGCACAGAACGGGGACATTGTGGGGATGTGATGATACACACACAACATAGATATGTACATTATACGTATATACGATTATATACGTATATATACACAATGGAATGTGATGTATTGGAATGTAGTGGGATAAGCAATGTAGGGCGATTAATGGGTCAAACTTGAAGGCCCGGTCCACGGCACGACATGTCTTGCGAAGTCAATGGAGCTGCACATCGCATCATTACACGATATTTTCTATTTTTTGCAGAAAGAGATGTTTGAGCTGGCCTGATTGGTGTTTCCTTTTCCAATTTTTCTTGTTCTCAATCCTATTTGGGATGATGGTCCCAACATGTCCCAACTCAATTTCAACTTCGATATTTTTGGGGATTTTGGGATGACTTGAAGCCGCCACCGTAGATCTGCAGCTTTGGATCAGACGCCCGAGCAAATGCATGGTCCGTGATGGACCCAAAGTTTGAATAGAATGAATAGATGCAAGTGAATGTGGCTTTGCCGAGTGGAAAAAGAAAACACTTTGAAATTCCAGATTCTTCCAATGTAGGCTATTTGAAAGTTCTTGCCCAGAAATCTTTCGGGCGAGGATTCCTCAGGCTTGTCAATGCACAGGGTGTCCTTCTTGATCCTCAGGAATCTGTGCAAGCTGCAGGGATTCAGGATGGAGACACTCTCACGGCCATTGTGCAAACGGCAAAGATAGCTGTGACTGACGAAGCCTTTGCTTTTTGGTGCAACGAAGGAAACAGAGTCGCCACATGGGGCAATCCAGATTCTGGCGGTGACAGCAGTCGAGTCCAAGAGCAGCTCCGAAATGTGCGGCACGTCCAAGCCACAGAGTCTGCATTTGTCGCAATTCTGGCGGACGGATCGGTTGTGACATGGGGCAACCCAGCTTATGGCGGTGACAGCTCTCACGTCCAAGAGCAGCTCCAGAATGTGCAGCAGGTTCAGTCCACGGATCGTGCATTTGCCGCAATTGTGTCGGATGGCTCCGTTGTGACATGGGGCAGGCTAGATTATGGCGGTGACAGCTCTCAAGTCCAAGAGCAGCTCCGGAATGTGCAACAGATTCAGTCCACATATCGTGCATTTGCCGCGATTCTCTCAGACGGCTTGGTTGTGGCATGGGGCTACCCAGATTATGGCGGTGACAGTTTTCATGTTCAAGGGCAGCTCCGGAATGTGCAGCAGGTTCAGTCCACGGATGCTGCATTTGCCGCAATTCGATCAGATGGCTCCATTGTGACATGGGGCAAGCCAGATGGTGGTGGTGACAGTTTGCATGTCCAAGAGCAGCTCCAGAATGTGCAGCAGGTTCAGTCCACAAGGGGTGCATTTGCCGCAATTCTGTCAGACAGATCGGTTGTGACATGGGGCAGGCCAGATTGTGGCGGTGACAGTTTGCATGTCCAAGAGCAGCTCCAGAATGTGCAGCAGGTTCAGTCAACACGTGCTGCATTTGCCGCAATTCTGTCAGACGGATCGGTTGTGACATGGGGCAGGCCAGATTGTGGCAGTGACAGCTCTCAAGTCCAAGAGCAGCTCCGGAATGTGCAGCAGGTTCAGTCCACAGGTTCTGCATTTGCCGCAATTCTGTTGGACGGCTCAGTTGTGGCATGGGGTTATCCAGATTATGGCGGTGACTGCTCTCACGTCCAAGAGCAGCTCCAGAACGTGCAACAGATTCAGTCCACGTATCGTGCATTTGCCGCAATTTCAACGGATGGCTCCATTGTGACATGGGGCGAGCCAGATTATGGCGGCGACAGCTCTCACGTCCAAGAGCAGCTCCGGAATGTGCAGCAGGTTCAGTCCACATGGTCTGCATTTGCCGCAATTTTGTCAGACGGTTCGGTTGTGACATGGGGCAACCCAGATTATGGTGGTGACAGCTCTCAAGTCCAAGATTTGATTTCATTTATATAGCAACTTAGCGAGGCACGATTAGTTTTTGAGATGTTGGCAACTTTTTGCATTCATTTCTCACTGAACGTTGCTGTGGCAATGTGGCTTCGAAACAAGACGAAACAAGCGTCATCCACAAGAGACACTGCTACAAAGTTCCATGGGTAGATTGCGGCTGGCCGGGTTGCAAAACTGCCTAGCTATCGAGGGAAATCCTTCAAGCAGTTTGATTTACCTTGTTATTTTTTATTTTTTACCTCATCTGGTTGGTGGTGTGGAACATTTTTTATTTTTCCATATCTTGGGAAGAATCATCCCAACTGGCTATATAATATTTTTCGGAGGGGTTGAAACCACCAACCAGTCATTATTAGAATCCAGTCTATACGTTTATAGATTTCTGGGTCTTCTCAAGGTGCAGTGGTGGCACAAGTGGTGACCCAGTGAACCATCCGGCATGAGAAAACATATATATCAAACCGTTCAAGATACCCCTGTTAGTGATTTTTAGGGGATACACTAGTTACTCTACTGTCATTGTACTGTCCCATACATTTGGAAACTAGTATAATCCATAGTCCCATCACCTCTGTTTTTGGTTCAGGACGGCCAGGCTGTGCCATGCTGTGCCATGCTGTGCCGTTCTCCCGAAAAATCACATCGAAAGATGTTGTGGAATCAGAACGGAAAACCACGTCATATATCGACCCATGGAAGTTGTTGGCTTTGTAGGAGTGGTCCCCAAATGGATTTATTGTGCCCAAGCTATGGCCATTTAACAATATTTAACATATTCACGTAGGGAAAATGATTATAAACCAGTTGCTTTTGGGGATACCCTCCTTTCAGACAGATGGAATGTCGACCCAGGATTTTGTGCCCTGGTTTGTTCATATGGCAGGCATTTATCATTGGAATAGGTGAATTATTTTAGGGACCCCCCTTAAGAAAACCCTGGACCTGGGGGTAACCCTGTTGTCGACATTGGATGGAAAAGACACAAAAGGGCCTTCCCAAACATCAAGAATTGTCGGGATTTCCCAGGAGCGCCTATCTACGTCTATCTACTATCCTTTATAAACTGGAAAAAATGAAGTGATTTTAGTGATGGTCGATCCAAGATTCAACTTGTCCTTGTTTCTGGAGTTTTTGAAGGGAAGTTTGGATGACTTGGTGCGATTTGGGATGACATTTCTGATTGGTGGGTTTATCTGTCATGTTCCATCCAGCAAATGGGATGATGATCCCAATAGACGAACATATTGTTCAGGGAGGTTGACACATGTTGAAACTTCCTCCATTTTTATCTATCAAAGTCAAACTCTTAGTTGATCAAGACTCAGAGCACCACTTTTACCAGTGACATTTCCCATCTTTGTTGCTTCAAATTCACATTTTAAGATTCACACACACATCCTAAATTTTTGGTTGATTACGATGAAACTCCATGGTGTTGCAGGTCAAGCCCCCTATTTTTCGTCACGAAAGCGTCACATTCTTTTCAGTTATCCGATATCCTCATCTTTGTTGATTTTGTTGGCTTAACTGAATTTCTTGGGTCATATCCAACCCCTCCGGTTGATCTCAGAAAATCTCAACATCTTATGGCGTCTTAAAAATCGCCCCCCTTCAGGACGAGGCCGAGTCCGGCGGAAAAGTCATCCCATTGGCTCCAGATAGCTATGGGCCATGGCTTTAATAGCAGCTATGGTAACAGAAAAATATGGTAACTGGAGAGGACAAAAAATGGCCGACAGAAAAATGGTCATTTTTGGGAGTAGTTTTGACCCAGAGCTGCTGGATGGAAGTGGTTTGTGACTATAGCAACTCAACTCGAAGGTGTTGCCGTGCTATGCCCCCAAAGTAGGGCACTTGCCTAAGCAGGATGATTCTTTGCCACTGGTATGAATCTTCAAGAACTGCGTTCATGGGATCTTCCGAGCAAAGGCTGGTTGTGTTGGATGCAGACATCAGGGATGAGAGGCACTTTCTGTGGAGTTTTTGTTGCTCACGTTGATCGGTTCTTGTCTTCTTGGCAGAGATGTGTGCGGAAATATGCTGTGTTTTGCTCCAGCTACATCTAGGCTCCAGTTCCAAAGTGCGTAGGACTTCTGGCATGCAGTCCCTGACTTGCCACTAGCAGCTTGACTCTGCCAAGATGTCATTCCTCGCGCTGGAAGCGTCTGCGGAAACGAAGGTTGATTTGATCTTTGGCGACAGATGATGGGATTACAGGGATCAGATATGATCAGATCACAGTTGTGTAGTAGGTTATAGATGGTTATAGGCTATATAAATTATGTAGGGATTTCCACAGTTCTGGTAGAGATTTTGAGGGTCCGAAAGTCAGAGCTCCCACAAAGATCTTCTGTAATTTCTTATCTTTTGGGTCCTTTTGGGAGCTCTTTCTGGGTATTTAGGGCCAACAATGGCAGAGAGACCTTCGCTGGTTGCTGGCTTCATGCATTTGTTTATCATTCCTGATGTGGAAGAAGATCCATAATTGACGCAATTTTCTAAGAAGGCCTAAGCTAGATAACAATGTTACAACCAAACCATGTTATCTCGACCCACTTTTATTAGGTAGTTTGTACTAGGATTACACCTGTTTTCTGATTGGCTCCATCCGCTCTGATTGGGCTTTGATTGTTTCACCAGGATATACTTTCGGACCGTTGGATTCATGGCAAAGCTCCATTTCTGTTGGTGAAATGCTGCTGAATTGCTGCTGAAATTGCTGAAAGGGGCAACCTTCTGAAATTGGGTTCGATCAGTTCTATGTTCTATATCATATCCCAGCTTGTATGCCGGCAAGATGTCACCGACACCTTTCTTGGTAACATCTGACCCCATATGTCCGCCAAGACTCCGAAGAGACTCAAAAAGCGGCGCCAAGATCTTGTTTTGGGACACCATTAGGAAGTCCAGGGAGCCCACTTTAAATCAATAGCAAGACCGCGATGATTTCACAACATTCACAACATATACCCTCTGGTAAACAGCCACATAACTATGGAAAATCACCATGCTATTAATGGGAAAACTCACTATTTCTACCATTCTCAATAGCTATGTTTGACATAACCAGAGGGTATCACTGACCACCTAAACACCCCCAGGGGGGGCCCCAGGAACCAGAACGCCTTTCTGTTGATCCACGGCTGGACGGTGACGCCTCTGCTGCTGGAGACCCTTCCGTTGCTGTCGCAGCTCAGCAGCGACGCTCGCTGCACTGCGGCGCAGCTGGCAGAGGGCAGCGGGGCCAGGACGGGGCCGTTGCAGGTGGCGTTGAGGAGCTGGGGCGCCTTGGGAGTTTTGAAGCTGGAACCTGGCAACTTGGAGAGATGGGGGTTGAACATGAACAAAAAATAACAAAAACCCAAAGACTGAGAGAAAGATGAGATTAATGAATGGTTGGCACCTTTTTTGGCACGGATTTTAGCGGGTGGATGACTGGGTTTTAGGACTTTTAATTTGTTGGTGGATTCCTAGAAATTATTTAGGAACCTGATAAACTGTTGATAAATATTGTTGGTGGAGTTCAAAGATGCATTCAAAGAAATTTAAGAAAGGGAACAACGGAGATACTGAATGGCTTAAGTGCGAACTGTGGAAATAAACGATGTAACTTGGCACCATGAAATTGGGGAGAGAAACCAGGTAACTCAGTCGTTTGGTTTGAACTATGGTTTTCTAACCCCCCAAACATTGGGATGATTCTGTGTAGCCCAAGTGCCATTGAACATGTTCTCCAGGTACCATTGAGGCGGACGTTGCGTACGCACTGGACGCGGAGAGCAACTGGAAAGACCTGGCCGATGTGTTACAGGCGGAAAAGAAGAGCGGTAGCTGGGAAACACATGGGAAACCGCAGCCATGGGGGGTTGGAAGAAATGGCGGGTTGAACTGGGAGGACAATTGGAGGTTTCCATGGCGGGGTAACCCCAGATCATCCAAGTTATTAGAGCATTTTGGTTATTGAAACTATTGAAACCCATGGTAACTTGGGGATCCCCCTTTTAAGAACCTCTCAATTATGAATGCGGAAATCAGCCTACAAAAAACATCTGGATTGCTGGCTCGAACGAGCTCGTGGTGCATTCAATGCGCCCTGGTCTTGATTGAATTTGGCGCGCCTGTCAGCTTCGGTATGTCTGAAAAAGATGTATCACGCCATTTACCCAACTGCGCAGAACCATGTTGCAATGTTCGGTTCTGAGATACCCTTTCTGCAGAAATCCTATCAAATAATATCAATTTTTCATCATTGGAAAGGAGTTGACTATTCGAGCCAATATTGTAATGCTAACCAAAATGATGGCACGTGTTTGCAGGAATCCATCAAACATGGCTTTGAATCAGCTTTTGAAGTCATTATCTGATCTTATAATGATTCTGAACTATTTGGATAATTTTTAAATCTCCTACCGTACAAGACCAGTCTTCCCAGTTAGCTTTGCCGTCTTCGAAAGGAGAAGATCCTGGAGATCTACAGCAAAGCACAGCCACCCTTCAAAATTCCTTCAGAGGTATGGGGCCCCAGCACCAGAAAATCAATGAAATCAGAGATGGGGTCAGAAATCGAATCCTACACAAGCTGAGAGATGCACTCTGGTGATTATCGGATATTCTGTGTTTCTTTTTGGCTGGATTGATGATGTGTGGATCAACTTAGTGATGCCGACATTACCTGGCTCACTGGTCAAGTCCACCGGTTATTCTGGTTGAGATATTGATGAATCAACTCCGCCAAGTTCTATTATTATCGGACCAGCATTTTCAATGATTGAATTTGCTCCGTCCTGGTAATCAAGCAGCATCTTGACTGATGCTCAAACCTGACGGCGAAAGTTAATTTTTCCAAGTATTGAACTTTGAAGATTAGATGCTCCAATGATTGAACTTTGAAATCCCCACAAGTATGATGGTCAAACACTAGATGGTGAATTCCAAGTACTGGTATTCTAAATATTCCAACTAACCCATTCATCACCAGTGTCCTGTTCCAAAAAATTTACCAAACAATCAGATGATTAGATACTCCAAATCTTGGACTGTGAAATCCTAACAATTCCGATGATTTATTTCGTTTTTTTTTTTGTGTGCGCACACAATTATCTAAATTATCTATGTCTATAAGATACAAGATAATATACATTAATATCCAAAGTACTAGTATCTCCAAAAATCTGATGATGAAACAACCCCAGGCTCCCCCTTTCCGAGGCCTCTCAGCTTTGCTTAGACCTTTGGCGACGCCTCGCAGGGCGCAGCAGCCTGCTGCAAGGGGTGGCACTGGCGCCGCTGTTGACGTCCATGACATACAATGCCAGGTGCTTTAGCGATATTAGGGCTGGTTTGAATGGCATTTTTGTTGGGTGTTAATGGAGATTTTTTTGGGGGATAGCCGGGATAAAAGATGATAAAACCACAGTCGGGATCGTGAAAAAAATAAGCGAACATAGGACCTTCAACAAGTAGGAAAGCAACGAACATTGTGGATCTACCTATCAGAGATTGTCAGAAATTGTGCTCAGAATTTTAGGATAGTGAAAAGTTGATCAAGTTGATTCAAAAACCAACGATCCCGGATTATGCGGAATCTAAGCAACAAAAATGCGGGATTGATGCAGAATAAAACACACAATATGGAAATGGATCTAGCCAAGAAGGGATGAATGGGTTTGGTGTTAGCTGTTAGGTGGTCATCTCTGGTTGTAGATGTGCAAGTAGCTGATTTCTACTTCAGTCTGCCGTAGTTGGGATCCCACAGTTGCTCGTAGATAAGGGTGCTGAAGCATTTTCGCCCCAGATAAGCCTGGAAGCCACTGGAAGCTTTTAAGCGCGTGTTTCTTTTCTCGATCCCAGAAGTATATGATTTACCTGCGGATTTTGTCTGTGACCAATTTTTCCCACCTGGCTAAAGATATCTTAAGATATTGGAGGCCAACTAGGCTACCAGGCTAGGACCTGTATGGCTTTGTCGGAGCATCGGGTACTCCTAAATCAACTGGTCAATTACTATGTTCCCATATGTTCCCTAAATTAAACAGCCATATTAGACACAGACACACCCATATATTACATATGAGTCATATGAGATTAATCATGATCAATATCTGGTACCCTCTAGTAAACTAACATAACTATGGAAAATCACAATTTTTAATGGGTAAATGCACTATAAATGGCCATTTTCAATAGCTATTTTGACATAACCAGAGGGTAGCTTTCAGTTTTACTGTGATTGCACAGAGACTTGGCCGCGACCTCGAATGTCGCCAGGTGGAATGAGGAAGGCTTGGACTTGGGTCGTGACAAGGCCTTCAGCACTTTTGATTTCAGCAGCTTAGATGTTTCTGCCTTAAAGACCATGGGTGACTGGCTGGTGGTTTCAGACCTTTTCTGACTTTTTTCCCCATTCAGAACTGGTGGCCGAGATATCCCAAATCCACCCAAATCTTAGTGATCCATGTGATCCCTGGAATCGACCCCCATATTTTCGAAACTTGGCTGAACTACCCAGGCGACATCTTTCAAGCTCTGGGCATTGGCCAAGTTGATTCCAATGGTCGGGTGGAGGTTTGGCCCCAAGGATATTTGGGCTTACAAAGGGTCTACTCCTACTACGTGCCCACCTCCTATGCGCCGCTGCTGTCACACTTCCACCATGTCTTGTTCGATGACGCCTCCTGGGGCTTTAATGGAGATGTGGAGGATGAAGATGATGAGATTCACGTGCACCGAACACTGAACGTGGTGGGAAGCGGGGCGCAACATAGCACGTTGTTCAAGGACCAGGGTTTCCATAATTTTCATCCAAGGGCCGGGTGGGATGGAAGATCTGTGACTGGGAAGATGCCAAGGTGTTTTCGGAGGTCACAAGTACTGGAGTAGCCCCGGACCCTTCTTCAAGGGATTTAATTTTGAGATATTTTGAGGGTGATATTGGGAGCAAATCCAGAGTAGCCTCCAGGCTAGGAAAAAATGAACCCCGCCTGGGCCTCATGGAAAATCCACTTCTTTGATGAGTAAATAAGGGATGGCAAATCTGCTCCATTGCCAGAATCAGATGCTATCCTTCGGCTCCCAGGATTTGCTACAGCACGTCCATCAAGTTTTTGCCAACGACAAGTTCGACGAGCAGCCGCAGTTTGTGATTGATACGGGTTGTGGTGATGGTCATTTGCTTCAGTGCATCTATGAACACGTGAAGAACCACACCCCGCGCGGCAAGGTCCACCGAAGAATGGGGGACAATGGGTGGACCCAAGCACTCAGATGGTTTCCCTAGCTAAGCTGGCACTTTTTCATGTTTGGCGCTCTGGTATGGTTGAGTGATGTTTCAGTGGAGCATTCCAATACCCCTGTCGCGTGTATCATCATCTGGTTGGTGGTTTCAAACATTTTTTATTTTCCATAATCTATGGGATGTCATCCTTCCCATTGACGAACTCCATCATTTTTCAAGATGGGCACATTGCACCACCAACCAGTCATCCGTTCTCTGATTCACTGATGCGTATCTCTTCGTTCCCAGAATTGGTGCTTCCCAGGAGTTCTCCTGGACACCCCAGGCCTCAGATGTTTTCCTCATCAGGCCTGTACATTTCTGTACACCTATATCACCGATTCAACAAGACCATCGCCATAATTTCAGTCCTGTTTTTGCCCCAGGTCACAGCCCCAAATTTCCATCTGAAAAGGGGAGATCCTGGGGAAACTCAAATTTTCAGTGTCCCAAGGCAGTGACCGCAGCTGTATGATGGTGGCTTCAAAATGGTTCAAATCAAATGTATTAAAATGTGCCATCCGTTACACCTGGTGTATCCTGGGATGATGAGCCGCTATGGACAAAGACCTTTCAAATCTCTTCATGGGAGTTGTAGTTCTAGTCATTCCTCCATGTCACAAGGCGAGCCGCCCCAGTTCGAAGTTGGTTTATAAACCCATTAACTTTATAGTTACATCCTTCATAAACCCTAGAACTCACCAAGTCATAAGCAATTGAGCTATTTCTTTGGGCGCCTCACCAAGCTTTTTATCACTTTTTCTCACCAAGCATATCCAGGTCTTAGATTCCCATCCCCTCACCATGGTGGGTGTGGACTTCAACGAGAAGGCGCGCATCGCCACGGCTTGTAACTTGGACGCCCATGAGGTGCCCCACCGCGTGGTGAGCGGCGACATTGGGAAGCCCAGTGCTCTCATGGCCATGCTGAAGAGGAAGAAGGTGGGGATGGGTCAAAACCTATGATGTCCATGGGTCAGACAGTCAACCAGCTATTTTTGCGTAGGGTACCCGTACCTTTCCAACCAGGCTTTTGACTGCCAGGTGAATACCAAGAAGGCGTTGCACGTGCGAAACTTGGAGAAGAACACAGTCAAAAGCTAGTCAGCTAGTCATTGGATTGGTAAATGATATGGAGTAGATAAATGTAGATAATAGATATGGAAGATGTATTGAAGAAAATGGTAATGATGGTGATGGTGATGGTGATGGTGATGATGATGATGGAGCTAGGGAGAACATCTGTGTCAACCCAGCCGATAAAGCCTGCTTTATCAGCGGCGGGAACCCAAAGAAAAGTATCAAGCAGTGACAGATGGCTGTTTGAAATGGCACTCTATGTTGTTTATATATGTATATAATATATAATTGTATATAATATATAATCATATAATATATACATATTTTATGTTTATTTCCTGCGTAAACATGATCAAAGATTGGGTTGCAGGATGTTGCCTCGAGAATGGTTTTGTTGCGCAAGGCCTTTTTTTTTTGAAAACTATCAACAACCATATTTTGCAATGGTCAAGTTATCCAAACTTGCAATGCTTGAAGACTCAAAGAATGCCAAAATCTGTGGTCTTCTGGGTAAGTCTTGACCCGCAGCGATGAACACTGGGATTGAAGGTCAAACAAGTATACGCTGAAAATCAATCGTTTCTATTTGGCATGATATTGAATAGAAAACTTTGGGGGATGACATGTCTTGCAACAGCGTCTAGAATCTAGACATGAATAAAGCTGTCTTGCAAAACGCCTGCTTCCTGGGTCCTGGGTGCACGCAAGGATCGTTTCTGGACCACGACCGGCCCTATATTCCGGCCAAGACGCCTATCCCTTCAGATTCCTCCCTGGCTGCCTTTGTTCGAAGTCAGCTGGCAGATTTTGTGCACTTGGACAAGGAACTGCGGATGCGGTGGGTTTGGTACCGCAAGTAATGGGGGATTTACCCCCAAAAAAAGATGGCCATTTGAGCCCGGGAAAATGGTGATTAATGATAAACCATCATTTTTTGTTTGGTATCCTATTTTCAGATAACCCGCTGCAGTTTGTCACTCGAATCTTTGAAGGATGACACAAGGCAGAAAAGGCAGAGAGCTTGGGATTGAGACGAAGGACATGGTCAATATGTCAATATGTGATTCGATAGTTTCTTTCATCACACAGAACTTCTTGTTTTTCGTTTATTTTTTTTTTGTTTTCTTAATCTTTGCCATTTTCTACGGTGTAATTAATCAACTTAGAACCAGTCAGGAATTTGGCAACAACCAGTTGAACACTGGGATCTCTAGGATCTCTTGGATCCTCCGCACCCCTGCCGTGCGGGGCGTTCGAAAAACTTGGAGGATCATCCCAATCGGAAAGTGGTTTGGCTGCCAGCCTTTTTTTTTGAGGTGCCCGAATATTCGTGGGCTTATCCCATTATTATCCCATATTATACCCATCATTATCCCATATTATCCCATTATTATCCCATATTATACACCTTTTCTTTATATATATACATATACTTGTATATCCCATTATTAATTATCCCATTTATAAATGGCGTTTTTTTTAAAAAAACTATGGTGACTAACCAGTGACTTTCTCCATAGATTCCAGGAGGGGACGGCCATCGGAGCCCTGGAGCTCTTCGCCTCCCTGGTGGAACACATGGCCCGTTGGGCCGACGCCTTGGGGGACTCCTTTGGGCTCTGTATGTTGGAGGCAGATGGGACTGCGGGGAGACCCTTTTGGAACCCATAACCCTCTGGTTATGTCAAAATAGCTATTGAAAATGGCCCATTTATAGTGGATTTTCCCATGAAAAACGGTGATTTTCCATAGTTACGTTAGTTTACCAGAGGGAAACTGGCAAAAAATGGCCACTCTGATCAAAGGAAAATACGATGAATCAACAATTTCATGGATTTTGATGGGGTAGCATGTTTTAAGACTGGCCGACCTCACGATTGATGATGCTTTGGCTAGGAACCAGCCCAGGTGGGAAGTCAGGTCAAAGCAGCTTGACATTCATAGATTTGGTTGAAAACTATTGAGATACGTGAGCTGATTCGGAGCTCGACCCATCACTGCTGGTTTCACCAGTCCCGTGGGATGATGATCCCCAATGACGTCATATTTTCCAGGCAGGTCACCATCAACACCTGCGGAGGTGATGCAGTTGGATCTTCCCAGCACCAGGCGATTCATGAACGACTGTGCCTGGGGATGCGAAAACGGCCATGGCTTGCGAAACAAAATTTGGGGGACAGACATGCAAAAGGCTGGTCATATTTGGATATATTTGGTTGAAAGATCTTGAAAGTCTCAAACCATCTCAAACCCTGCAATTTTAGGGGTTACTATTTTTTGGGGCCATACACAAATGATAAGGGTGTGGCCCTTTTTGACCCGCCCAAGACCAAAAACACGTGGGACTTGTGTCTCCCCCGATTCGCTATGATGGGGCCCCATATTCCCATATTCCCAATTAACCAGGCAAACCCCCAGTTCTGGTTCCAAGCTTAGTGCTGGTGCCTCCAAGGTGTGTCGTTCCATTTTGACATCGTGCAAAGTCTCTCCAGGCAGAGCTGCTTTTAGCCGTGCTGGGGAACTGTCCGTTGGATCACGAAGGAATGTTGGTCGATCTGTCAGAGGTGAGGTGTCCTGTTGACGGACAAAGTTTTGTCATGAATGAAAGTCCTGGAAAGTCTCACCATCATGACCATCACCAGCATAATCACCAAAATGACCATCATCACGATCATGCAACTGGGAGGTGCTTGAAGCGTTGGCCCACACAAGTGTGCGCCAGGCAATACATGGTTTCAGCCGTGTCTTTTGCAATGAGCTGTGCAATGGCTGGTCTTTTTCCAACCGATTGCAGATCAGTTCAAACCTATCCCGAGACTGGAGGTGGCATGTCTTCGATTTGGTTGCCCAAGCTGTGGTGGGTTGACATCAACTAAACAAGGGACCCAACATCCTGCAACGAGACAGTGGTAGGGCAAGCAGTTCCGGGTGATTTTGGTAGGGTCACAACCCCATCCTGGATACCATCCCGCTCACCCTTTGCTCAATCCGTGCGAGTGAAACCAACGCTCCGCTCATCCACCGCATTTCATTATGGTTTATGCATCCGTTGCACATTTATGGATATTTATGGTAGAGATTGTGAACACTTTTTGTTTTTCAGTCCAACACATTTTCCCAAACCCATTTTGTTTTCGGAACCAACATTTTATCCATTGAATCCATTGACATATTTATTCCGATCATGCAATCGCAATGATTCGTATAGTTTTCAACCTATCTTGGTGAAATTTCCCCAGCTGCCTGGGTTGAAAATATTTGTTACCCCCCAAAATCCCAGCAATTCTCCAAATTTGTTCATCAGATATTTTTTGGGATCAGTATTCGCAGTTTCTCATCTTTTCCGAATCTTTTCCCAATAAAAATGAATCCCCCCATATTTCTGTGCTGCCCATGTACTTGGTGAATCTGCACAAAAGCTTGGTGGTTCGCCCAAATTTTCTGGAGGTTAATCCCCATGTTTATCCATTACTGTAGTCTATATCATTTATTTTTGCATACTTTCCCCACCATACTGGGATCAATGATCGTTTTCCCATGATTTGTTCATATATTTTCCCATTTTTTTTCCCCAAATAAACATCAATCTATATCAATCTCCTCAGGGTTTTCTGCAGGTTACTGTCGCATGATGAACCAACACCTGGTGCGCAAAGCCTTCCGCCTCCGCCTCGCAGAGCGGTCAGATCTGCCATCGCTGCTGGAGCTGGAAAAGAAGGCCTGGCAACAGCTGGCTGCGTCGGAGGAGGTGCTGGTGGGATGGGGCTTGGGCCTGGGAAAAATGGGCGAGATTTGAGAGTTATGACTTGATCTTATGGAAGGTGTACATGTTTGAATAGGCATTCGGCATTAGGATGTTTGAGGGAAAATGTATCGGAAACTATGTTTTGGGATGTTGGTTGGATGTTGGATGTTGGGGTTAAACTTCCAGAAGTTCCATTAAAAAATCCCCCATAGAGTCACCCTATGATGACTTCCCCATGAAATCCCAATGGAATCCCACTAAACCCAAAGGTTTCTCATCATTTTCAGACACCGAAAACATCTTCAGCGCCAGGTGTTACGTCAGCGCCTGGAAACGTCCCGCGAGGGCAACTTTCTACTGGAGCTGGATGGACAGGTGGCTGCGGTGCTGTACACCCAACGGATTCGCAGTGTGGAGGATGTCAAGTCGCAGAACCTCGGAAGTTAAGGAGGTGAAACCTGATGGCTGGGGTGTTACCCCCAGTCATCCATTGAAAAATAGGATTTTCTCTGAAATACACCATCCATCACCATCCAGCTATTTTTTGGTACCACCATGGCTATATTTCAACCAGTGGAGTTTCTCCAGATTTTTCAATCCCTTTTTGGGACCATTGCCAGTCGACCTGGGCGACATCGACCTTGGATGATGTTCGAAAAACTCCTGGTCTCCCGCTATAAAGAATACCGGCTTAAATGGATGCAGCCATGGATGCAACTGGAATGTTGATTATTATGAGTACCCCCACTGTACCATCCACAAAAATGTTTTTTCGCCAAGTTATATATGTGATACATATAATTTGTACATGTGTGAGACACATACTATATATCCCATTACAGTACATTCCCATCATGGTTGTCCTTGTTAAGCACCACCATTTTTGCCGGTTCCATTTTTCCATTGTTCTTGTTGGCCGTATCCTGCTTGAACCATGCCAACCCCCAATCATCCAAAAAAAATGTGGAGGGTGCCCGTTGTTTTACATGCATCCTTTTTGGGTTGATGAAACTCGACTAAAACAAATCTTAGATACTGCCCTTTTTGTTGGAAGCATACACACCCAAACATGTAGATGGTGTATTTATAACCCCATTTATATCACTATTGTTAATGATATCTGCAGTGTACAGATTATGCATCACCAACATTTTGTAATTATCATAAGGACCATAACATTACCATCATCGTGAATATTACATAATATTACTATAATTATGTACTAATATATATATATATATTCTGCACGTGTATATATATATATACACACCTCTACAGATGATTATATATCATACAATTATTATTACTATGATTTTTTATTGAACAAAATACTCTTAGGGATTATATATCATTATAGTAATTATCCCAATAGGGGTAGTATTCCAATAGCAATCACCAATATCACTATATCATTACAAAATTATCATGACAGTGCTAACGCTGATTATACTAGTGATACATTATCACAATAAACACAAACACACACATATATATATGACTATGGTAATTCTTACTTGTACTAACTAGTGATACATTAGCATAACATATAGATATCATATAAATATTATTATATATTATTATCATATAAATATTATTATATATTATTATCATATAAATATTATTATATATTATTATCGTATAAATATTATTATATAGTATTATCATTATTATTACATATATATATATAGTATATAAATAAATATTCATTCTTACTAGGGATGATGCATCCCCGCCAGGAAATTCATGGCCGTCTCTGAGTCCCACGACCCTTTGGGCCGCATCCTGCAGCTCATCGCCCTCAGCAGCGACCCACAGGGCCCCTTGCAGGGCCTGGGTGCCGAACTCCGTGGCGCGGTGGATGTCACCACGTTTGAGCCGTTCAACTTGGGGAATTTACTAGGATTTCACATGGAATCAATGGTCATTATGGTCATGTTCATGATATTTCATGGGGATTTCATTAGACTTCACCAGTTGTAGCGATCGATTGGAACCTGTTTTGGAACTAGACGACGGATGGCCCGAGAGCGAAGAGGAGCACAGTCAATCAGATGCAAGCGAAAGTTTTATGGAGACAACGTAAGAAGAGAGAATGAAAGATGAGAAGAGGTAAGAAAAGAAGATGAGAAGATGTAAGACTAGAAGATGGAAGAAGAGAATATTGAAGACGTAACATGCAAGAATAGACGATGTAAGAAGAGAAGATGTGCAGATGTAAGATGTGTAGATGTGCAGCTGTGACTATGTGCAGATGTGAAGATGTGAGTAAATAATGGAAGAGAAGATGTAAGAGGAGAACATTAAGAGGTGAAGATGCCGACGAATAGCGCAGAGGAGCCAGGTAAAGGCATACAAGTATAACAGGCATATGGTTGGTAGATGGAAGAGAGGGGGGGAGGGAGGGAGAGAGAGAGAGAGAGAGAGAGAGAGAGGGAGAGGGGGAGAGAGAGAGAGAGAGAGAGACAAAGGGAGGTGGAGTGAATAGACGTGAAGATGTAGAGATGTGAGGGAAGCAGAAGGGAGATATGAAGAGAAGATGATGATAAGAGCCAGGATGTGCGAAGGTGATGTATCTGGAGGTGAAGGTGCATGAAAGGAAGATGCGAGGAATGAATGTGCGAGAGGGGCATGTGCAAGACGTGAATGAAGATGTGACAGCAGAAGCTGCGAGAGGAGCAGGTCTGAGAAGTGAAGACAGATGCTGTTTAACTTTAATGAAAGAAACGCGGACACAGAACACACAGAAGCTCTTCCACAGAGAAGGCGATACAAACATACAACTTTACACGCAGAGGCTGTCACACACAGACGCTGTTTGACACACAGACACTTTTACACACGCACGCTGTTACAGAAAATTTGCCTTTACGCGTAAAACACTTTACAAATAAAGCGATTTGCGCACTGTCGTTTTTACACACAATCCTTTTCACACACATCCTTTTTTTTGCACACGGGCGGTTTTAATCACGGTGTCCCGGACACATCCGTCGCACACCGTGATGTTAAGGGCCGAGGCAAAGGAGAACCGAAGCAAATGCAGCGCCAGATGCATGTCAAACTTTCCTGTGAGGTAAAGTAGTGCGTCTAAAGTAGTGCAGTGCCGACAAGCAATGAGGGCAGCCGCGGAGAGAACAGTGCTGGCACGCGACGAACTTCTTTTTTTGCTGTCACATTCGGCACTGCTTCGAGTGGCGACTCAGCGCATCGCGACCTCAGAGCAGCTGTGGTAGCTGTCGAACAGCTAAGGTTAACCTCTTTGTGAAAATGCAAGCAAAGAGATGTCACGGACGTGTCCAGAAGACATCGGAGTTGCTTTGCACCAAAGAGGCACGCAGCCGACGCGCTCTTGCCAGTTTTGCGGTTCGTGATGGTTCTGAGGCACATGCAAACAGATATCACCGACATATCCTTTGAACATCCCGTCCAAAAATCCAAGATTAGCGTGTGACACACAGTGAAGACATTGTCCATGGGAGAAACCACCATGCATAACAGACCCAGGAGCCGCGAAACATTTTCATTGCGAGACACAGGTGCATCAAAGGAGAAGACATCACGGACACGGCCAAACGACGCTGCCAGCGGTCTAATCTAAGAATTCAGGGCAGGACGACGCCACGGACACGTCCGAAGCTTCACAAGGCGTCTTCACATGGCAAACTCTCTTCGGACTAGCCAAAGCTTGGACCCGCGGGCAGACCAGCCGGGATGGACTCAGGACAGCCCGCTGCCAGACCAGCCGCGGGACCGGCAGCCGCGAAGCTCTGGTGCCACTGCTTGCGTTCCATGTCGACGGTGTGCATCCAGCATGTAGCCCTCGAGCTTCCACAGTCTCTGCGCTTTTCTTTGCACCAGCAGCAACTCGATCGTGGCCCCTGCGGAGTAGTTCCATGCAACAATCAGCCACGCGCGCAGCGCGGCACAGCTACGATTGCTTCCATTGAAGCAATGAAACAAAGTGTGCCTATCGAAGACGACCGCAGTCATTGCGTGGTGCCACAGTTGCCGACACAGCAGCTTCCACCTGCGCAGCCGCATCTACTCTGGACACTATGAGGTCTTCCGAGGGACACTGCAGCCAATACATTTACAAACGCTTTTACAAACAGGCGCTGTTACACACACACATTTACAAAGACACCTTTACACAGGCGCTTTTGCACACAGACGCTTTTACACACAGATCCTGGTCCACACAAACCCTCTTACACACAGAAGTCTTTATGCACAGACCCTTTGACACACAAGCGCTTTTACACACAGACGCTTTTACACACAGATGTCTTTACACACACAGACGCTTTTACATACTGCCACATTTACACGCAGACCCTTTTTGCCCGCACGCGCTTTTACACACAGACGCTTTTCCAGCGCTTGCAACTCTGAAGCATTATGGGCTTTATGGATCCTCACCAGCTGTTAAGCGATTTGAAGCTCATTGGTTTGGTTTCAGTGGTTCAATGAGGGCCCCAGCAGATCGCCTTTGGAATTGGTGCAGCGTGTGCAACCAGCACGGCCTTGAGCCGAGGCAGCGACTCCACACCATGAACAACCCCGCTCGTCGTGTGAATTTCTTCGGCTGCGGGTTGTTCCTTTGGTCCTTGGTCTTCGTGCATGTTCACGTTGAGGTGGTGGAGCAAAGACCTCCAATGCACTGGGTGAGTCAGCTGCTCAAAGACGCATCACCCGCGAATTTGCAGGCAGCCTTGCAAGAGGTCACAGGCACAAGTTTTTACAGACACACGCCTTTACACACAACCATTTTTACACAAAGACCCTTTTACGCACAACGCTTTTACACACCAACGCTTTTACGCAAAGACCCTTTTACACACAAACACATTTACACACTAACGCTTTTACACAGAAACCCTTTTACACACAAACACATTTACACACTGACACTTTTGCACACAGATGTCTTTACACACAGACGCTTTTACACAAACGCTTTTACACACAGACGCTTTTACACACACACACAAACGCTTTTACACTTTTACACGCAGGCATTTCTACACACAGACGCTTTTACACACAAACGCTTTTATACACAGACGCTGTTACACACGAACACATTTACACACAGACACCTTTACACACAGGCGCTTTTATACACAAACGCTTTTACACACAGATCCTTGTCCACACAAACCCTCTTACACACAGAAGTCTTTATGCACAGACCCTTTTCCACACGCTTTTACACACAGACGCTTTTACACACAGATGTCTTTACACACAGACGCTTTTCCACGCGGATGTCTTTACACACAGACGCTTTTACACACAGATGTCTTTACACACAGACGCTTTTACGCACAGATGTCTTTACACACAGACGCTTCTACACACTGACACCTTTACACTTTACACGCAGACGCTTTTACACACAGTCGCCTTTACACACAGCCGCTTTGACACACAGACGCCTTTACACACAGAGCGCGACAGTACACACAACAGCATCACACATGAAAACGTCCTATTTTGCTTGCGAAATGCGATAGGCGGTGCGCGCGGATCCAGGCACGCAGTCGCGTTTCGGAACTACATAGTAACATTTAGCAATAATAGACGTAACATCACGCAACAACTTGCATTTCGCAGCTAATCGCGGCTTCACGGCCCACGCGGACACAGAGGGCAAGTCACATTTCGCAACTAAATTGTGACATTACGCGACAAAATTCCCAAAAACATCACATGACAACGTCCCATTTTGCTTGCGAAACGCGATGGACAGCCATCGCGGACGCAAACGCAAAGTCACATAGTGACATTGAGCAATGGACGTAACATCACACAACTCGCATTTCGCAGCTAATCGCGGCGACGCAGCCCGCGCGGACGCAGCAAAATCGCAATTTTACCGCAGTTTTTGACGATCGACCACCATTTCGTGCGACGGCCAACATCTGCATAGCTGTATAGTTGCATCGATCTGGCCCTTCTTGAACATCTCCACCAACGTAGGCTCCACCTGGAAGATGTTTGGGAGCGATTGTAAACTATTTACAGCATACTGATCGACACGATTCGACATGTACAGTACATGAAAACAATTTTGTTTTGGATCATTCTTTGCCGAATGTGAATGGCTTCAATGAAAAACAACACCAAACAGTCATATCACTCAGGGTATTGATTGAGTCGGCAAAAACTGACGGGTTCGGAGCGCTTTTGGAAGTTGCAATGTCGAAAAAGTGCACGGCGTTGTGGCGCGAAGCACATTTGGAAGTCAAAAATGTTAAAAACTGACGGGTTCGGAGCGCTTTTGGAAGTTGCATGAAGTTGCAATGTCGAAAAAGTGACGCCGCCGTGGCACGAAGCACATTTTGAAGTCAAAAGTGTTAAAAACTGAGGGGTTCGGAGCACTTTTGGCGTTTTGCGTGGCAGGCGCAAGGGATTCTGCACCTTGTCAAAAGTGAGCCAAACGTGTGGGTGTTGTGGCATTTCTCAAAACGATGGCAGGCCTGGGACATTTGAAGAGGATCTGCACAGATGCATTTCGCGTAGCAGGCGGATTACAAGAGACATATCGATCAGATATGTTCAGATGTCAGGCGGTGATTTCCTGAGATGGTTTGCATTTTGGAGCATCAGATCTTCAGGTTTGTTGAAGTGATGTTGCGTGACAGGTGCAGCACTTCGTATGACCCGGAGTCATTTTTTCGTGGCAGGCACAGTACTTGAGAGAGATGGAGTGGACAAATCGCAAAACGCATTGGTACGAGGACGTCAGCTCTGCAGTGGACTTTCCATTTTGATGGAGGTCTCGCAGAATTGCTTCGTTTTTGAAGTTGTCAACTTGGAAAATGGAAGAAGTCTCGCAGAATTGCTTCGTTTCGGAACATCAACACACTACCCTACACTACACTACACTAGACGACAGCTACAACTACCACTGCCACTACAACTACAGCTACTACCACTACAACTACAACTACCACTCCCACTGCCACTACAACTGCAGCTACAACCACTACCACTACCACTACAACTACATTAGACTACACTACACTGTTTTACAATTACATTACAACTACAACTACATTACAACTACAAGTGCAACCACTACCACTACAAGTACAACTACAACTACAATTGCAACCACAGCCACGGCTACACTACAACTACACTGCAACTAGACTACAACTACACTGCCCTGCCTCCAACCACTGGTCGATTCATCAGCATGTTCGCTCTGCCATCCATGCATCGCAACAACCGACCTCTCCTATAGGTTTCCAATCTTTGAAACTTCCGCCACCGCTTTGTGCGGTACTACTGGTATTTTTATGACCAATTGTATTAAAAGAGTAGCGACCATTTGAGTATCATTTCAATTGTGTCCAAGTTTGAACCGCCGCTGTATATGTAGTGGTTCGGTTTAGCGACCGGTCTTGTCATCAGCGAGGAGCAGTTATCTGAACATGGCCAAAAACCCATACCTATCACCGAGCCTAGCTATACATCGGGAGGAATCTGGTCCCAGTGCATCATGCTTTACCAGCGGCTCTCTGATGAAATATGTTGAGCAGAGTTGTGTTCTGTTTTAGGGGTGGTGCGTGAAATCTGACCATGCAGTCGATGAAAGCCTATGTCATTTAGTCTGCATGACCTTTTCCAACTTGTTGGCTGTGGAGGTCCACTTCAATCACCTTTCCAACGCCACAGGCCCGCCTCTCATCTAATTATTGTCAGGCCTCCGCGGAGTCCGCGCGTCTCCATGTGCGGTGTGGCAAGGGTGATTTGGAATGGAGCCTTGGCTGATCATCATGACTGCTGCATGTCCTTCGCTGCTTGAAGCGGTTAGACGACCCTTTGCCCCAAACTAACCCCACATAAAAACGGAAAGGTTGCGGGCCCAAGATGCTGAGTGACAAGTGGATTGTGGTGCGACAGGGCTGTGTAAGGCTGCTAGATGCATCATGGAGGAAAAAGAAGATCCAAACAGCAATTGGTCAGTGATTTCCAATGATGATCCCTCATCACTGCGGCCGCCGTTCAGGCTCAAAAAGCACCCGAAAACTGCAACACTCATGACCACTATGAGGCGAAAACTTGCAATGCTTGGCTTTGTGGTGTTTGGCTTGTGCCTCGCCACCCAGCTGACCTTTGTCAAGCTGCACCTCTCCAACAGCCCTCCAAGAACCATCGCGATCCATTTCGAGCTGCCAGTTCCTCGAAGCATTTGGGATGCTTCAGCTGTGCTGCTAATGGTGCTATCGCTCGCTGTCCTGCTACTTGCTGCGTTCTGCCATGGCAGTTTGGGGCCTTTGACCACTGTGGCCTGTGACCGAGATCGGACCGAGAGAGATCTCGAACTCAGGTGAAAATGCAAGCACGCAGTGCCCAGAGAAAACTCTTGGAGATGGCGGCAGAGAGAGAGAGTGCCCAGAGATCCTTTACGCACATGCTTCCCTCGATGAAGGGGTTTTGCCGGGAGGTTTTTCTTGTCCATCGTATTTGCAAACTCCAGGGGCGCCAGGAATGGGAAGCTGGACACCACTACGAGAGAGAAGCAGGAGGCTGATCACCTGGGATTGGTCCGAGGCTTTTGACAAAGCCTATCTGGGAACGGTGACGGAAACTGAAAGAATTGCTTCAGGCTTCGGGGGCGCTGTTTGCCATTGGAAGAGCACCCTGACGTTAACATTGTTACCAAGGAGACGTACCTGGATAGTGAGGATGAGGAGCTATTCAAAGAAGTTGCTGTCGGTCTGCTCATTCCCTCCAGTCCTTATTTGGGGTTTGCAACCACCATTGAAAGAGCTCCGCGTTTGATTTCGGCCTGCCTCCCATTCACAGCGCGTGGGTATTGGGAGCAGGGGTTGACTTTTGTTCAACAAAAGGATCTTGCCACTGGCATGGCGTTGGCAATTTTGCACTTGCACTATTTGAGTCTTGTGCATTGCGGCATCAAGCCCGACAATTTCCTCGTTGATGCTGAGGGCACTGTGTTTGTAATTGATTTTGGCTCAGTGTCGCGAGAGGGGGATGTACCGCCAATGATGTGCAACTCTTACCGCCCCCCCGACGAAAATGTATCGCGGGCCTGGGACATCTATTCCTTAGGCAAGGTATTCTACGAACTTTTTGGGTCGAGAACTGACGCCTTGCCAGGTAAGTTGGTCCAAATCCTGGATGGCAAGCCTTCAACATGAAGCATGGGGATGGGGACAAAGTGCGTCCATGTCAATGCGGCGTGTGTCTTTGATTGTGCCAGGCGTTTTCTCCTCCTGGCGCCTCCTTCGAACAACTTGGCCATGAGGCGAATGAGGGTGATGGATGTTGGGTGTGATGTGTCTTCAAGCTGCACGTAGACTGATCATGAATTAACAGGCAACGGGTCGAAAATGGTTGAAACCTGCAGGGCCATGCTGGGCATTTGTTGATATGATACAGGTGCACATGTGTACAAACATGAGCGGCATGTCGCCATTTTGCATGGCATGCCACCATTTTGCCTTGTACAATGTCCCGTGATGCGCAAGTATCAATCTCTTCAAAGTCTCCTGGCTGTCTCTTGCTCCAAAGTTGACTTTGATATTGCGCAGCTGTGGGCTTCAACTTTGGTGCCTCGCTTTTGTTACTCGCTTTCCGTTGCTGATGCTGGACGCTATTACGGCTCTGCAGTTCTGCTGCCAAAGCGCAGTGCTTTGCGACCTCTGGCGCCGGTGGTCAGCAGCGCAGATCCCCGGGGCGTAAGACATTGAGGTTGGGATTTTCGGACTCTGAGTCTGAGGATGAGAAAATCTCTCCGCGTCCAATTGCATCCCCGTTCCCAGACAATGTTCAACAGTTACCCTTTTATGGTTCTTTGACTATACCCATTTTTTTAGATCCATTTTTACTTGACCTGGTTTCCAATAAAAGGTTTTTTGTTGACAGCGACTCAGGGTACCCAAAGAAATGGATGATGACTCAAAGCCCAACCTCATCAAGAAGGTCAAGAAACAGTTGACGAAGATGAAATCATCATCCCCATCAAATCCAAAGGTTAACACAGGGAAGGACAAGGCTGATGGCAAGGACGAGAAGGGCTCCATGGAGGAGAAGACGGAGGACTTGGAATTTGGAACCTCGTCATTGTCATAGCGCGCCATTGACTTTCTGTTCTGCGGCGAGGTGGTACCACCTTCTACCCTGCTGGGCCAGCTCGTCGAGGAGATCGGACGAGGCTGTTTCAGCGTTGTGTACTCGCTTCAGCGTCCAGAGCTCAGATCAGATCTTACAGGCTGCAGCCAAGAACCGTGAGAGCCTCAGTTCGTTTGTGCAGTACCTTTGTCCTTGAGGTGGTGGTGTCACAATGGCCGCCAACTTTCCCAGACGGGATGGGCCCAGGGCCTTTAACGGTGGGATGACTTAGCGATCCAATCCGATCCACACTTTTGGGCGACGCCTATTGTCGCGAGGCCGAGAAGGAACAGGAACAGGAAGAGACAGAAGAGAGGCAGGGTTCCAAATCGCACGGATGGCCCCGAACCTGGTTGATTGACGTTGACATAGGTGGACGTGCGGTTTCTTCGCAACTCTCATGAATGACTGCGACTATTTAAACGATTTCATTCCATCTTATTCCAGTATTCTCTGTTTATGATGGCTGCACCGAAGTAGACCAGAGCATCCCAAACTTCCAGGAACATCCCGCTACAGTGTTGATGTGTTTCGCTCTTCTGTTTAAACCTTCGGTCGTGTCTAATGAGCACCACTTATCAAGGAGGGGCACCCCGAGTTGACAACATCTGATCCTTCCATGCCGCAATGAATACAATGCCATCCTGCATCAGTTGAGGAACAGCGGTTGACGCCCGCAGCCCTTGGCTAAAAAAGCACGGCAAGTAGACGATCCAGAACTTCAACATGAAAATAGGGCTTTCTTAAAATGATTGACCCAAAAATCATTGGTTTCGGTTTCAGTGTTTCAATACTGAAATTTTCTATGGTGATACCAGTAGTACCGCACAAGGCGGTGGCGGAAGTTTCAGAGATGGCAAACTATAGGAGAAGTGAGTTGGTGTGACGCACCAATGGCAGAGCGAATCTGTTGATGGATTCAAAGGTGGTTGAGTGTTTCTCCCTTTCTCTCTCTCTCTCTGTGTGTCTCTCTTTCGCCATCTATCTACTGGCCTACCTTTCTAGCTATCTACCTATCTACCTATCTACCTGTCTCTCCATCTATCTATCTGTCAATCTATTTATTCACCTATCTATTAAACTGTCTATCTTTCTATCTATCCATCCATCCATCCATCTATCTATCTATCTACCTATCTATCTATCTATCTATCTATGTATCTATCTATCTATCTATCTATCTATCTATCTATGGATCTATCTATCTATCTATCTATCTATGTATGTATCTATCTATCTATCTATCTAGCTATCTAGCTATCTAGCTATCTAGCTATCTAGCTATCTATCTATCTATCTATCTATCTATGGATCTATCTATCTATCTATCTATCTATGGATCTATCTATCTATCTATCTATCTATCTATCTATCTATCTATGGATCTATCTATCTATCTATCGATCGATCTATCTAGCTATCTATCTATGTATCTATCTACCTGTCTATCGATCTATCTCTCGACCTGTCTATCTATCTGTCTAGCTGCAAAGTCGAAAACAAAGCAATTCTGCGAGACTTTCTTATTTTTTGAAGTTGGCAACATCACTAGACGACGGTTGGCCCGAGAGCGAAAAAAAACGTTTTTCAAACAGCTCTGATAATGGTAGTTGTTCAAAAATAGTATGTGAATAATTGGTGAATGTTATATGAGCTATGGAGGATAAGTTGTGAAAAGTAGGATTGATTAAGAAGAGGATACATGTGACAACCCATGCTGCTTGGTAAAGCGCAACATATAATACGTGCCTTGCAACCACGTGCCTTGCAACACAGACACTTAGACCCAAAGAAGCTTTTACAGATACACGCAGAAGCTTTTACACACAGACCCCTTTACACACAGAAGCTTTTACACACAGACCCCTTTACACACAGACACTTTTACACACAGAAGCTTTGACACACAGACGCTTTTACACACAGACGCTTTTACATTTAGACCCTTTTACACACAGACCCTTTTACACACAGAAGCTTTTACACACAGAAGCTTTTACACACAGACAATTTTACACACAGACACTTTTACACACGGAAGCTTTTACACACAGAGGCTTTACACACAGGCTATTTTACACACAGACACTTTTACACACAGAAGCTTTTACACACAAAGCTTTTACACACAGAAGCTTTTACATACAGACCCTTTTACACACAGAAGCTTTTACACACAGAAGCTTTTACACAAAGACTCCTTTACACACAGACACTTTTACACAAAGACGCTTTACACACAGACGCTTTTACACACAGACGCTTTTACAACCGGCGAAATCGCAATTTTACCTCAGTTTTTGACGTTCGACGTCCAATTCGTGCGAAAGGGTCGCTCGTGACACCTCAAAATCGCAATTTTACCTCAGTTTTTGACGTTCGACGTCCAATTCGTGCGAAAGGGTCGCTCGTGACACCTCAAAATCGCAATTTTACCTCAGTTTTTGACGTTCAACGTCCATTTCGTTCGAAAGGGTTGCGAGGGGACAAGTTAAATCGCAATTTTACGTCAGTTTTTGACGTTCAACGCCTATTTCGTGCGAAGGGTTGCGAGGGGACAAGTTAAATCGCAATTTTACGTCAGTTTTTGACGTCCAACGTCCATTTCGTGCGAAAGGGTTTAGTTTCGTGGCGCTCAGGCGGCACCGCTCCCGCCTTAAGAGAGAGATAGAAAGAAGAGCGAGAGGAGATTTGCAGATGTGAAGGTGTGAAGATGTAGATCTGCAGATGTGAAGGTGTGAAGATGTAGATCTGCAGATGTGAGGGTGATGTGAAAGTGAAGATGTAGATCAGCAGGTGTGAGGGTGTGAAGATGTAGATCAGCAAATGTGAAGGTGTGAAGATGTAGATCAGCAGATGTGAGAGTGTGAAGATGTAGATCAGCAGGTGTGAAGGTGTGAAGATGTGAAGGTGTGAAGATGTAGATCAGCAGATGTGAGAGTGTGAAGATGTAGATCAGCAGGTGTGAAGGTGTGAAGATGTAGATCAGCAAATGTGAGGGTGTGAAGGTGTATATAACGGCTGCTTTTTTTACGAAGAACCCTTCGCAGGCGCTCTCGGGAATTGGAAAATGGTTGTGGTAACAAGCCGGGTGGGGATGTGGTGTCTGTGTGTGTGTGCAATTTTGATTTGGAAAAAAACGTGCATTCTAAGTGAAAGTCCTTGGTTATAGAAATGGATGAATTTACCCAGAATATCATGGAAATTTCACCAGAAAGTGGAGATTTATGCAACGCAGTTGGAGATAACCACCATCAGAAACCATTGGATGCCTTTCTTTGAACCCAAACCACTGTGTGACTTTCTGTGTATTTTTTGTTGAAGGGAACTTGAGGTGTTTCTTTTATCATAATATTCATCAAATGTTTGAGATTTTGATTTCCAAGCTCGTTGGTTCACATTTCTGCATCTGCTTGGAGATTATCTGATCTGATTGCATATATATATATATATATGTGTGTATATATATATACACACAATATTATGTTTTATGTGTTCAACGTTCTTTCATGTTCGATGTGTCCCTTAAGAGAAGTCAAGTCTTTTGTCACCGAGGATCTTTCGCATTGCTCTTGGCCAAAGTGGACCCCAGTATCGATCTGGTCATTGGCGTGACGCGATGCTCGGAGTTTGAGGGACTTGACCTGGCCAAGTATGTGGCTGACCATCAAGCCGGTGGTCAAACAGAGACTGGGTAGCGATTGAACAATCGAATAACCATGTGGTAAACCCATGGTAAACCCAATAACTAAACCATCCCCAATAGAGGTTTATGAAATATACTAATACCCATAGAAATAGGATGACGGAAAATATGAGAATGTCATAGTTGTTGTGCCACTGCCATGTGATTTGATAAATGAGGTGGCCTGAATTTTTCTGTTCATGGGAATGCACGTTTCAGCCCATTTTTTCCAGCCGAATATTTCTCCATCGATTTGGACATTTGGACACGCCTCATGTGGGAAAATCATTTTCCTCTAACTCGTTAAGCCCAGTTAAGCCCCTTTCTGGTTTCATTTTCGAGGTTTAAACCCTCTTCTTGGTTGCTTGAATCCATGCATATGAATCTCCATGTCTATGGGATACTAAATGCTTCAGTTCCATTTCCTGGTCGGTCAAAGTTGATCAGCAACGAGGACAAGACCTTGTCGTTTCACACGGGATATGGCGCGGAAATTCTTCGCTTGGTCCCTGACTTCCGACCTGAAGACCTGCAAAATCAGGGCACAGGGGTTCTGATCCAGTACCCTGGCGATTTACTGAAGATATTGAAGCAGAAGTTGAACTAATAAGTTGACTTAACTTAGCCAAATACTGTACTTCATTAGAAGTCAGACAATTGATGATTATTCTGTGTAAACGTGTTCATCTTTCTTTGCATGATGATTTTCAGTTAGTGACAAGAAGGATTGCAAGTTGAGGTCTGAAATTCAAACAGCCAGATGGTCCATCCTTATCCATCCTTGCCATATCATCAGTCAAGCTGCAAACATCTTCCCACTACAATCCATTTTTGCCATATCATCGAACAAATAAGTTATGTAATAAATAAGTTGAAATTTCCAAATCCAAAGTGATCATCATCTTCTATATATTTTTCCAGTATAGTCATGATCAATCTATACATCCCACCTGAAAAAGGTACGACATCAAGACCTGGACTCCACTTCTACCGGACAGCAACGGCAGCGCCGGCACCACGGGCACCACAAGCACCACGGAGCCGGCAGCTCCCGCGGCTCCCGCGGCCTCGAAAGGGGCACTGCAGGCGTTGCGGGAAGTGCTGGAGGAGATGCAGCACCACTTGGAGGAGGAGAAGTTGGAGCTGGGATTTTTCGTGTCACTTGAATCACTTGGGCGAAATTCATGGGACTTCTTTCCTGAAATATCCTGAAACAAATATCTATATCTGGTGGCTTTAAATATCTGATATAATGGGAACATCTCCGAAGTAAATAGGGAATTGTCCATTGCTATCTTTGACTGGAGGGCACCTCCCGACTGGAAAGATATGAGCTTCGCTAATCGCCTTGATGTATTTGAAAAAAACCCATGGGAATATGGGGATCTTGAGTACCCTCTGGTTATGACTAACAGTTCGCCATGGTATAGATGGCCCTAATCGAAATAGATGGCCTACCTATTAAAAATGGGTGGATCTTTCCATGGCGATGTTAGTCATAACCAGATGGTAACTCCACCTGGAATCTTCCGGATGTTTGTGGGTCTTGTAGCCCAGACACAGAGGATGTAATCACCACTCAATTGGACTTAATAATAACAGATCTGGGTACTTTGGTTGTATTATTGTTTTTTGGTTTGTTGAATAACAATCCAATATAATGTGGCAAACCCAAGAATAAGCAATCCCCAATCACCATAAATGCATGGTACAAATTACACACACACACACCATCCCCAATGGTATTATGATTAGATTGCCCACATTAATCAATACACTCCCAGATGTTAATGCACTAATCACAAAACAGACACAAAACAAATATGTGGATGTAATCCCAGATTATGTTTTGTTATTTTGTGATTTTCCATCCCCGAAACTGGGATGCTGACCATCCAACTTGTCTAGTTGGGGCAAGAGGATTTCATGTAGCAACCCCCACAAAGATAGCAAGTTGTGCTTCCAGGATGGTATGGATGATATGGACACCCTCCGGTAAACTAACAGTTTGCTATTGAAAATGGCCCATTGATAGTTGATTTACCTATTAAAGTGGTGATGTTCCTTAGTTATGTAAATGTTTACCAGAGGGTACCTCATATTTCAAGTTGGTGTCCAAGTTGTCTTCATCTTTTTGGGGCTTGCCTCATATTTCCAGCTTCCGCAGCTCTGGTTGAAACTGCTGGAGGTTGGGATTGGACTCCCTGGAACTGACCCGCGTGCGCAACAGGACTGGGAACATCCCATGACTCATCCCATTTCCAAGGCAAGAGTTTCGGTAAAATGGATACAACTGTATACTGGTTGGTGGTTTCAAACATTTTTTATTTTCCACAATATATAGGATGCCATCCTTCCCATTGACTAATATTTTTCAAGATGGTTAAAACCACCAACCAGTATATTTCAACATGGAGGTTTCCGAACATGGGGTACGAACATCAGTTCTCATCCATTTATAGATGGGATATGAACCATGAAATAAAAAATCCAGCTGTTTTTTGGGTACCTGTATTTTGGGAAACCCCCATATATTACATTAATATACCCTGCACGAAATTAAGAGTTCGAACCTGAAATGGCCAGTGGAGATCTTCCAAGCCCCTATTTGGCAGGGTCTAGGTCTAGGTTGATTTACTGGAAGGCAAATGTTCTACGTTCTACATGGAGATGAGCAATGGATTCCCACAGGCTGGCCTCGAGCCACCGGAATTTTTGAATCGCCAACAGCACCTGATTCATCATCATTCTCCCTATTAAACGTGGCCGCAATTTAGGGTTAAATGTCCAGACTAACATTATACATCATTGACATCATTGTTGGTCACGTCCCCTTAAATCCCAATCATACCTCATTAAATCCCATGAAACCCAAGAGTTTCTCCTCATTTTCAGACAGATGTCACAAGTCATCCCCCAACATATTCCGTTTGTCAGGATGAGCGAATGGGCTGGACGGCAACTGCCGGCCACGTTCCTCTTCGATTTTCCCAGCGTGTCGGAGGCTGCTGCTGAGCTGGAAAAGATGAAAGGGACAGTCAGGCAGCATCGCAGTGCGTTGCTTGGCGGATCTTCAAAAATGGGCCAGATCATATCGACCAAGAAGATTTCATCATTTTTTTTTGGGAAGATTTGTTTTTTTTTGGTAGTTGACTTAGTTTACCAGCTATTTCTCCAATGGGCTGCCCCAAGTTTGATCATTCAAACGCATCAAACGTGTTGATTTTGCTGGGGGAAACCTTTGGGGGGTCCAAATTGATGTGCGAAAAACAGACACTTTAGCGAATGCAATGGATATCTTGACTCACAAGAGTTTCTGTTTACCTGATGTAGGAGGTTTCACGGCTGGTGTTTACCTGATTCTCTAGGCCTGAAGCCAGGCTGATCAGCACTTTCCCATAGCATCCCATAGCTGCCATAACTATGTCGTCCGGTCACTTCAGGCTGGAAGCCATCAAAGAGATCTTCCTTGACCTCAAATGCCCTTTATCGGAGGAGACGGTTGAAAAGAGCCTCCTTATGTATATATATACATACGATATACGTATATATACATATCATATATATATATGTATGTATAATATGTACACACACATATATATATATAAATGTCGTAGAGTGTTTTTCAAGTCTGTAAGACATGGCCTGCGGCAGGGGGTCCATCCCAACAGGACCATGGGATTGCAGGGTTGGCTCCCTTGCGGCCTCCGTTGCCATTGCTGTTTGATACATCCACTGCTGTTTGGGCTCGATCCCCAGATTTATCGGTTTAAATTTCAAAATCTGCATTTTTTGCTGTTTTGAAGGCACCCATTGTGTTGGCTCAAGCCTGTCCTTGGGGGGGCCTAAAAAACCCTTGGAGCCTGGCGAGGAGCAGTCGCTGCAAGGTTTTCTCCAGCTGGGTATCGACTCCTTGGAACTGGTGCGGCTAAAGAACAGGTTGGGGCCATCCTATGCCGCCATCCTGAGGGTTCTGGGGCAAAACTCCACCAATTTGGAAGGTTGGGAGCTAGGTTTCTTCAATGTGGTAAAAGGATGCAAAAGGGTCTAAAAGCATTAAAAGCAGGGAATAAGCATAGTGAGCTCTATCATATCTCTAGTTTCGGTTGTTGGGAGTTGGTTAGTTTAGTGTCATGTTTATTTGTTGCATTGCGGCTGTGCTTGTTTCTTTCTTGATGCATTGGATCTATGTGCACCTTGTTTGGGGAAGGCCCAGTAGCGAGTAAGCCCACACATTGCTTAGTGCTTTGGCATCAATCTAGCAAGTGGCAAACACCACTTATGGAATCACCAGCGAACTCATTTATCACGCTCGGAACCAAGATCCCCCTTTTCGTTGATGTGTTCAGAGTCCTTTCAGCAGATCTCGGTGCCATCCGCCAGTTGAAAGGCTGAGCAAATGGCTGGGCCACGATTTGCCCGCCACATTTCTCCTGGACTTTCCCTCCGTAGCGGACCTGGCCGCCGAACTCGACCGCCGCAGGGCGGGGTCGGCGACCAACGGGGCAACCAACGGGGCAACCAACGGTGCAACCAACGGGGCAACCAACGGGGTGGCCAACGGGGTGACCAACGGGGGCTACCACGGCAAGGGAAAGGAGGAGGTGAAGTTGGTGGTGGAGAAAGAGTTGCTGATTCAGGTGGGCCATGGACTTCGCATCTATATCGAAGTTACCGTGGGGATCCAGCTGAGAATGTGTAGTAGTTTCATATGTTTCATCACTAGCATGTTTTTTGCATTGTTTTTGCCCTGCTCCTCTGTGGGGAATCTTCCCAAGCGTGGCAACTGTGCATCCCCATTCAGGTGCAGCAGAAATTGAAGGAGAAGTATTCCTCAGCACAACATCAGCGCAAGATCAGTGGCATCATGGAAAAGTCATCCGCATCAAAGAGTTCCTACATGAAAGCCTTGGAACCTCTGCGGATGGAAGTGGAGGCTGACGGGTCGGTGAGATAGCGATGGGTTGGGATCTGATTTGGGATAGCCTCTGGTAATCAAGGATCGGAATGGAACATCTGCCAAAAACGGAGAGGAAAATCAGCTGGAAATGGGGGACTTTGGCCTTGCCATGTTTGGAGACTGGAGGGTATGCACGGAAAACGCATGCATGAGATTGACGGAAAAACCGGGGATGGGGTCTGGAAGTGTTTTGGTCCTTTGCGCGGGCGACAACCATCTTCTGTTGTCCCTGTCAGGGTTCGGTGCTTTTCAGCCTTGGAATCATAGACGACTTACAGCCCAAGAGTGTGGAAACTGGCCGCAAAGATGTAGAAAAGAGCCTAAAGAAATTCCGATCACTTCCAGAAGTCTCCGACTGCGAGCAGGACAGGGAGAGCTGTGATTGGCCCAAGAAGTTGTGGTTAATCCATACAGGTCTCATTTGTGTATGATGGCGACAATACGAGTGGCACTGAAAAAATGGGTGTCTTTGTGCGCCATGGTCAAACCTGAGGTTTAGACATCCGGGATCATGCAGGGAGATGCACCCATGTTCATTGTGGTTCGTCCAATAAATCCCCAAGGAGTTCCCAACGGGTGGAGGACGAGTTAAAGTTCAGCCTCCTTCCAGTTTTCTTGCAGAGTAGCAAAGATTGGCCGTGATAATGATTACGACGCCAAAATTGCAATCACCCCATGGTTGCATTCCCTCCTCCCAACTACCTTCTGCTCCTTTCGTCATGCGCAGGAAGTTTTGAAGGTGCTACACCTGGAAGCGACATGAAGTCACTTTTTCATTTATGCATCATCAGTTGATGGATGGCCCAAAGTTGATGGCCAAAAAAGTCAACTGCTTGGTGATTTTGGAACGTAAGAAATCTTTCATTTCTCGTTTTTGCATCCTCAGATTTGGGGTGATTCACTTGAGATTTTTTGAGGCCTTGTGGGCGAAAAATGGCCCAAGAAATGGGATGGAGATGAGTTTTGCCATGTTTTGCCCATCGGACGAGCCCAAAGAAACGGCTGAGCCACGACGCAAGGGCTTTTTTCCAAAGCTTCCAGCCGAGCGACGACCCAAGTGCGGTTGTAAAGAAGATTCCAGCACCGGGTAAAATAGCGACTGGTGAAGGCTCTTCAACGTGGGAATCAAGATTTGAGCTGCAAGACTGGGGATAAGACGAAATCCAGGGTAAACTGATTGGACCAAAGAATATCTATGGATGCTGGTCGAGTGGAGATGAGTACATTATCAAAGGCTTATGGATCAAGGACAGGAAACCGGCGGATTGGCCGGATTGGGGATCCGGATGGATCCGGCTTTTGGGGGAGCCAGACCCAATACCCAATAAAAGTTTAAAAGGAACCGTGAACCAGATGGGGCTTTGATCCCACCTTGATCCCACTTTGCCTCCACTGAGTATGGTTTCAGTGCGCCAGTACTTGCAACATCTTGCAACATCAACAACTCTACTACGACCATCTTGAACTGAAAGGAAGATGTCCCGTGGCTGTTGAGGAGCTGTTTGCTGCAGACACGGCTTGGTATTCTGATCATGGCATTGGAAGATCATACATCATGCGGCATACTCAGATTGTAAGTTTTGACATCAGTGTCAGCATGGTTCATCATGGTTCATCATGGTTCAGCATGTTCATAATTTTCATGGTGTTAAGGACACAGTACTAGAAGTCACTAGAAGTCACGAGAAGTCAGTTCAGGCTTTGGTTGCCTCACAGCAGTGACTTGGATTATTTGAAATCAGCTATATATTTGGTAAACTCCACTTAAATACTGGGTATTTATCCAATTTATGTTTGACTCGATCATATATATATATATATCATATCATTTAATATCATACCCATGGTTCCAACCTGAGGCTTGTAATTTTTACAACAGGAGAAGCTGGTTATCCCCGGTGAAAAACCATGCGATGAATGTCGCCCAGCGATGAACGCCGGAGAGACCTGCGTTCCAAGCGCCGATGATTCGCGTGCGGAAGCTGAGGGAGGCGCCTTGGGAGGCTTTGCCATCCAAGCTGGGTAAATCAGATGTTTAAATCCATTTGGTTTGTTGAAAAACATGTTTTAACTATGAGATTATATGAGATTATGCTAAAACTATGCTAAAACTTATCCTTATGATGCAGGACATCTACGGTTGGGCCCAACACACTGCATCTTTGGGGGGTCCATTTCGACCCAGGCTTTGGTCAGCTGCACTTGTGGCATCCCCCTGGACTGGGCTGCTTCCAAAACGATTCCTAGAATTGCTTCAGGGGGAAGAAAAATCAGTTGAAACTACACATGTTCAAAGAATATACACCCACCAATCACCCACCTATATTTCTATGTGTGTAATATATATATATTATTATATTATCCATTGAATCATTCCCTTCGAATTTCCCGGAAACTCGCCAAGGTCAAGACACCGCACAGGTGCACCAGCGTTGACTTGGTGAAATGGTGAGAAAATGGTGATAAAATGCTGATAAACCAGTGGGTTCGTGGGATTGAATGTGGGTAAAATTGGGGGTTTTCATGGGATATAACCAAGAAGAACATGATATGGGCCTGCCAACTGGGGGATACATTTCAAATGGCAAATGTTCATAGGAAAGTCATGATGGATGAATGGGATTCTTGGGCACTATATATATTCAGAGAAACCATGACAAACCTATTATATATATATATGGGTATGGATCAATACCTATACATACCATTTTTAGGGGGATGAACATCCATGAATCCCAGCTACAGTATTTTGATGTGAACTACAGGGGGATAGGGTTTTGACCCATCCCCATATTATTTTTATTTATTTTTGGTAATGGTCACTTCACCCAAGTCAAAAACGAATGGAAGAGACATTGGATAGAGGTGTTGCGTGGTGTTGCCAAGTTGCAGCTACACAGTTGTCTTTTTCGGTATTTTTCAGCAACTTAAATGACCCTTGAGATAGGATGATTCCATTTTTCATCACTTTTTCCATTGGAGTGCGGAAAACTAAAGGCTTCAATGGAAGAGGAAATGGAAGAGACCTAAAGGACCTAGATTTCAATTTCAGAGGTCACAGCTTGGGGTCCCTGTCACAGGCTGTTTGGTTCAGATGGCTCTGACTGGGGACGTCTAATTTTCATCAGCGAAGCTTCAGGAGTCTTGGTACAACTCACACAGTTGGGTCACGTGGTCCGGGCCTTAGCCGGACAGGGTCAAGCTCGAGGGTCCAATGACCCAAATGCTTTTCCAAGTGTCATAAACAGGTAAAAGATGGTAAAAGATCAAAAGTCCAATTGGGTTTGACAAGATTTGAATCGATTTGATAAGCATTCTGGAAATGTCTGCCTTTTTTTTCCCAACTCTCCCAACTTTTTTCAGTCGCTGCTTAGGATTTGATGATTTGAGGGAGAATTCTGTTTGTCTCAAAATGGGGACACCCGAAAATTGACATTTTGATATAGGTAGCGTTAATCCACTTATAACTGGGGTTATAACATGTTATAACATGTTATAACCCACTTAAGTGGGATGAGCCACCAAGTAAAATGACGGCATTTCCCAATTTTGGGACAGCCCCATAAACTTGTTTCAATGGCAGTGTCCGATCAACAAAATATCTTGGTGCTAGGAAAGAGTGGGAAGACAAGTCAACCTGGAAAGACGACTGGCAGGACCCCTTCGGGCCGTTCGGGTGGGGAAACCTTGGGAATCCCCAAATTCCCCTATGATCACGAACTGGAGTCTTCTCACAATTCGCGGCCGGGCCCAAAACCACAAGTTAGCCATTGAAACTCCCAGGATGTTCATCAAAGTTTGCAGGAGCCTCCGAACCACACCTGGGAGGCTGATTCCGAAGCTGATCGAACTGCAGCCGTTTACAATCACCACAGTTTCTATGCTTTGATGACCTAGCAAATGGAATGCAAGTGGTTCAAACAGCCAAGATTACAGCCGGAAAAAACATATTTTAACCAAGGTTACTAGCAAGAAGTCATGGCCAAAGAACTTGTTGGGACGAACACTCACGGCTGCAGGACTGTCCAACTAATGGGGTACCCACAGAAAGCAGCAAACATATATGGTCCATGGCAAAGTTTTATCCTGCAGGTTGGATCCCTTTCATGTTTGAAGCAAACCTGCAAGGTCTTTGCAGACCTGGGTCTGGAACACTTGCTCTACGATGCCAAGGTGTTTTTTCCCGGGCTTCCATGGGATTTGTTGGACAGCCTTGAAATTTGGAATCATTGATCCCCTGCCATCACGTGGTCTGCCATCATTCTCCCCTCAAGATAGCCATTTTTTTAGGTTAAGCCAAACCCAATTTCTTGGATTCTATGTCCAAGATGTGTCTGGACCCCAAAATGAACTAGCCGATGGTCTATTTCCGCCATTTCAATCCGATACTTCTAAGATGTTGTAAGATGCATGGATATACCTGTTGCCCACCATTTTCTGAGTGGAATTTCAGAACATACTGGCTCATTCTGTGTCGATTCTAGACCTTCTTTTTTTGCTGCTTATACTCCCAAGGCATATCTATATATATCTAATTATATCTATATCACAATCACTTTGATTATCCCAGTCACCACTTCCGGAATAGGGACTCTTGGGTGCCTGGGGATATCATGTTGCATTTTTTTCGAAACAATACCCTCAGAATTCCCCACATTTATCACCATTTATACTGATATATATATATATTTATACATCATATATATATATACACATGATATATATATATATAATTATACATCTACATATAGGTAACTTTGACGGTTTCAAGCATAATTAGTTTCTGTTTTCTCACTTCTTGGGTTGGTGATCCCATTCGACCTCTAGTTTGTATGGTGAAAAAGTGGAAATCAGATGGGCTTCACCGTCTCTTTAGTACCCTTGGTATCATGATTCACAGATGATTTTTCCAACGATGTTCCCATCCAACGCTAAGATTTCCATTGCCACCCCGGTTAGTGTTTTGAACCTCTTCATACATATGTTGGTATATACTCATAAAGGATGGGTTGAAGCCATCACTACTCTGTTTACCGCCATCGTTCGGTTGGTGATATACCAAGATTGTGCAGTGTGGTAGGTTTATTTTCCTAAAACTATTGGGATATTTCTCATATGTCAACTATTTTGATATTTCCATGTTTTGAGAAACCTAAATACAGTTTCAACTATTTTCCCATCAAACATTGGGACTTCCACGGCCACCGCGGCCACCCCCCATTGAGTTCGATGCTTTTTCTCTTAAAATCTCCATTTATCGATGATGTTCTATGATGTTCTCGTATTTTGCTTGATGTGTTCGTATATTTCCCCAGTTTTTCCATGTTTTTCCATATTTTCTGATGTTTTTCCATGTTTTTCCATGTTTTTCCCATTAAAACCTCCGTTTTCATCGAAGATTTGTCACCGGTGATCCCCAAAAGTCCCAAGCTCTGGCCAGGAGCTGAGACGAGTTCTGAGCTGCGGCGAGTCCAAAGATCTGCTGGAGGTGCCTGGTGGTGATAAATATATATATATATATGAACAATCGTAAAAACCCCGGCAATACTAAATATGTATTCGACGGACATTGGTTTATGGAAATTGATGGAAATTGTTAAAAACACGAGGTAAGCGATGGGACCTTCCCAAATTAGCGATACCCCTTTTCAAGGTTATGTCATCATATTTTTTCTAATATCCACATTAGCGATACCCAAATATCACATATTATTCATGGTTCATCACATATATATATAGATAAATGCAGCAGCTTCCTGCAAGCGATACCCCCCAAATTTACCATATATCATTATTGTACAAACGTGTGGTAAGCGATGGGACCTTCCCAAATTTGTGGATGTCTTTTCCGTGAACCTAGGGTTTTCACAATCGCTCATATAATATACAGTGTATATATATAGAATATAACTGCAATATATACTAAAATTATACATAATATATATATATATATGCATATATATATGGATTACATGGAAACCACCCAAAGAGATGGAGAAGAGCTTCAATTGACCAACTTCTATCTGACGCTGCCATGATCGCAAGGCGGCGGGCTTCGGGGATGTCTTTGACCATCCGTCCAAAAAACAGGACAGATAGGGCTGGTGGAATCGTGGTTTGTTCTGTCAATTGTTAATGATTGGAAGTTGATAACTGGTTGGTGGTTTGGAACATGTTTTATTTTTCCATATATTGGGAATAATAATCCCAACTGACTTTCATATTTTTCAGAGGGGTAGGTATACCACTAACTAGATAATAATGATAGCAATAATACTGGTTTATGGTTGATAATAGTAATAATAATGGTTTATCGTTGATAATAATAAGTAATCATTGATAATAATGCAATGTTTGATTGTTATCAACTTATGACAAGAATGGCCAATTAATGTTTGATAATAGGCAAATTGCTGATTTATCATGTTCCATTCTTTACCAAAAAAAAACAACAGTACTCACAATGCCGCTGGACTTCTGCACTTCCCAGCCGGTTTTTCATGGGATAGTAACCCTAGGGAAGTGCCGAAATGGGATGATGATCCCAATTGATTTGTATATCTTACCCTCTGGTAATTTAACGTAGCTATTGACAATGGCCATTTATAGTGGATTTTCCCATTAAAAATGGTGATTTTCCATAGTTATATATGTTAGTTTACCAGAGGGTATCTTACAGTAAAAAAACTGCGTCGCATCGTTGCACACCTCCACATAAGGGCTTTGGCATGAAGTCAGAAACTCAGAAGTGGATGATTGGGGCTACCCAGACCGATGCTGGAGGATGTTTTTTTTCTATTTCCGTAAGGACGGACATGGACTGCGGTTTTTCAAACACCCTGAAATCGGAGATGGTACCTGGTACAATCTCCGAGATTTGTCATCATAATAAGACAAGTGGAAGTCTGATATCTTACAAGTGGACAAAACCTCTACATGTTCCATATAGTTCTTCCGCCCCAACATGGGGATTTCCGCATTTCCGCCAGAATCAGGAGCTCAAATTGCAGCTGGATCTGCTCAAAAGGTGAGAAACCCAGTGGCTAAAGTTTGTCAAAGTCGTGGGTCCCACACTCCAAAATTCGGCAGACTCTTTCATGATGATTTCGAAAGGGATCCAGAGTTCAGGTTAGGAATCAGAATGCGAACTGTTGAGAGCACTACTGTATTATATGCCTTGCAACCAAATCTCTAAGTACCCCCAATTGACATTTTCAGGGGCCCAAACGAGCTACTTCTGTCCCTTGAATCCCTTGCTGAGCTTCGGCCATAGCTTGAGAAGATCATTGACCCCTAAAAACGTTGTCATGTTTACTGTTTGGTATACCATCTGGTTATTTAACATAGCCATGGAAAATGGCCCATTTATAGATGGTTTACCTGGGTTTACCTATTAAAAATGGTGATTTTCCATGGCTATGTTAGTCATAACCAGACGGTAATTGAAAATAGACAAGTATATTTGCTTCCCACCTGCAGTGATGGATCCTCTTGCATGTTGAAATAGGCGGGCCCAAACCTGTACTTACATCATCTTACATTGCCTCCAGTGATATCTATCAATTCAGAACAGATCAGTGACATGGATACTTCGTTTAACCCCTGAACATATATGGATATGGGTCAAACACCCAGTAGCTTGGTTTTCGCACTTTTCGTTTGCTCCGCTGAGCTGATCACAGGGTACAGGAGCTTTTCCGAAAGCACGATGTGCGCGCCATGATCCAGGAATGGGGGGCTGGGGGTTTTCCTTTCTTCACATATGGCATATGGATGCATATGGGGGTTGTATGAAAATGCATATGATCAATCACAAGCATAACTGATATTATATATATATGCGATTACTATTGTATATACATATATATATATATAAATATGATATTGGTATGTATTTGCATTCTTGTAACCCTAGGGTAAATATTTAGACGTGGACAATCCACCATGATTTCGTAGATCATTTTCCGCACGTCCCCATGGAGGAGCCCGACATGTTGATCGGCCTGGCAGAACGCTGTCAGGCGCGAGGCTTCGGGGATGGATCATACCAGAAGTTATCCATGAACAACAGGGATTGTAATAGGGAACATGGGGATGGACCTTCGATGAGGTGATACTAATGATGGGGTTTACAAAAGGAAGAACAAGCATCAACAATTAGGATGATCATGAAAATGGTGGGAAAATGTGGGGATCAAGCATATGGGGGTTAAAACCTATGAGCCCAATATTTGGGGTGTAACGCAATGGGATATAACCAATCATATAGGGGTTTAACCATCCACACTTAGGAAACTTCGTGGGATGATGAATGGCCTATCTCCATTTGAGATTGTATAGTAATCCCCAAGAAACGGGAGAATTTACCACTGTCTTGAAGGATTTGACAAGAACTATTGTTTTGGGGGTTGCTGGGAAAATGACTTCCAAGCTTGGGCTTTCAACCACCAAATTTGAGATTTAATTACAACAACATAAAGGTTGAAACTTGGAAACGATGACTCAGCCACAAAAGCTACGGATTGAGCCCTTCAATCCATACGAATGATTCCTGGGCCCCTTGGGAATGGCCCTGTCCCACCGTGAGTTCATCAGGATCTGCAAAAAAGCTTCGAGGAGTGTGGCTATCCTCAAGGCTTCCTGCGCCACTACTCGCAGCTCAGAGAGGCCGCAGCGACCATCATCGAACTGTAGTCCTGTACACAATGGTCCCATTTTGCCAAGAGTCCTAATTGCTTAATACGATCCCTGATTAAGTAGATAAGTAGCATGTGAGATATCTTAAAGGAATATTTATTAATGATCAATGGGATGAATACGTTGATAATAAGATTAATCCTATATTATACTAAGTATACTTAGTCTTAATTAGCACATCCCTGATTCCTTTTCCTTGGCAATATCCCATGTCTGGGTGAACTTACCTTTCAGATTCTCAGCAGACATCTTTTGGGCCAGGCTTTCAGGCAGCTCGGCTTGGAAGATCTCCTGGACAATGTGCAAGTCCCTGGGCAGCGCTTATGCCATCGATACTGGGAGAACTTTCCACTGGTGGATGTATCAAACTAGATGGGACATAAACCAACTTAAACATCATGATGAGGGGCCTGTTTTTTTAATTGTGTTCCCAAATGTGGTGAAAACTCACTTCCAAACATTTGCACACCAGGAAGTGGAATTGGCATTGACTGTTCCCGTGAAAGACCCCTGCCATCTGACTTCCCCCCTCAAGGCCATGAAGCACTTCCTTGCGAATCACACAAAGCAGGAGGTGACAAAAAGCCGGCTCCATTCGGGTCTGAAAATCTACCCAAATGGTCCATATTACAGTTGAAATATGGCAATTATTTGCAATTATTTCCAGAATATCATGCATGGTTGTCCATATTGTTGAAATGCACAACAGTTGTTTCGAGAAGTAGAGCCTCCCAAAAAAGGGGTGCCTCGTTTGACCGATTAAGATACAATGTAGTTGGGTGAGAGTTGAGCACCCCGGCAGCATCTGGCTTTGAAAATAGGGACTACTTTTGGGATACAAAAAAATGATGGTTATAATGGTTGATCATCATTTTCGCAAATTTTTCCGATCAAATTATGTCACTCTTGGGGCATCCGAATTTCTGAAGCCATGGCCCAACAACTTGGAACAAGGAGCTGGTGTATTTGCGAGCAGCCGCTTCGAGAGTGGATGAGGCCAAAACAGGGACTATCGGATGGTGGAGGGGTGAGTAGGGGCTATGGTTGTCTCCATCTTCCCCGAGAAAAAAAGGGTGAGCTAAGGAGCTACGAATTGAGTCTTCCAACGACATGATAGGCTATGATAGGTAAGTTTTTCTGGATTTTCAAGATCGTCTCCGCTGGCAAGTCCTTTGGGAACCGGTTGGTGCTTACATGCCCCTTTTCCAAGATTAAAATGGGAGGATTTTCCGAGCATGAAATGATCCCTGAGGGTTGAAGGCACCGGGGGTTCAGGTTTTTGGATGTGTCAAAAGGCGTAGAATTTGGCGGTCAGGTGGAAGACCAGCTGAAACAACGAGATGAGGAGGTGGCGGGAGGCTCAGTAAGATTCGAAATCCGGCTCTGGGACCCAGGTGATCCATGTTTTTTTCTGGGTCGGCTGGGTCAGTTTGGATTATCACTCCATGTAGAACGATGGCAGACTCACTTGAACGGTACTTTGGATGTAGACAAAAAATTGTATTCACATCAAATTGGCTTTGGATGGCGGACAGGTTATCGTTTGCCCACTATGGCAATCCTTAAGAAAGATGCAGAATTTGGTGAAGTCCAACCCAAAACATTTCAAAAGGATGGCTACATTCAACAATGCCTTTTCTTGGGGGGAGTTATAGGGGGAGTTGTAGTAGTAATTTGAGCCTTTTCTTTTCGGGGGTTACTATACACCTGATATTTTGCCAAGTTGGAGAGCCACCAACCACAATCTCCACAGAACTCTTGGCCGAGGCCAGAGTGAGGCAAGAGAACCAAGCCTTGCGAGAGAGGCGTCGAGATCAAAGGATTTTGTTTGCTTGGTGGTGTGAAACTATTGATGCTTGATGGATAAACTATTGTCTTAAATCTACCTGTAGATGGCATATATTATATATCACATGTACTGTAAATAACATTATATATATATGATTAATTGATTAATTATGTACGTGTAATTATAAACTATGTAATTATATATCATTATATATATAATATATGGCTGGTCTGATTGGAGGTTTCACAGTTACTTTTCAATCTGACACACATGTCCACTATGTTTGGGATGTAAGGCCCGGCCAGCAAGCAGAACATTGTGGAGTGAAGGGAACAAAAATCCACCCAGAGCTGGTTTAAAAGATGATTTCCCAAGTAGAATGCTTGGGGAGTTTGCTACATTCATCTACATCCGAAAATTCCAAATGTCCAAATGTGCGCCCTCCTCTCCAACTTGCCAACATGACTTTACTTTGCTGCACTATGGAGTGATCTGACATCAAATGGTTCCAGTAAGCTCAGTAAGCGGTCAGCTCTTAATGCTGTGAGGGTGTTTGGCCATGCTGAAGATGGCTCTGGCCGACCGAGGTTGGCAGCCTTTGAGGATGTGTGGCACCAAGGATTGTTTTGCCTTCGTTTTGTCCGCATTTCTTCAAAAGGGGGAGCAACATCTATTATAATATATATATATTTATAATGATATATATGTATATGTATTTATAATAATAATATATATATATACAGACTATATTTGGGGAATGAACACCCATTCATGAATTAGTTTGGTGTTTTTATCATGGGATTCCATGGGTGTTGACCCAGGTGAGCCAAAGCATTCCTCCCACGCCACAACAGAGGCCTAGCTTCATGGGTAAAACTTGAAGGCTCAGAGGATTGTAGATGGAGCTGGGTAAATTACAACCACCTCACTGCGACCTCACTGGAAATCATGGTTAGTAAGGGAAATCATCCCCAAATGGCCTTAATTCAGGTTAGTGAAATATTGTAATTTACCCAGATGGATCCTTGTCATGTTAATTCGTTTTGTAGTGTTTACGCAAGACAATTTTGGGGTGTACAATGTTGAGCCATATTTGCACCACAGTTTGCCACAAAAGATAAATGTTGGAAATTGCTGGACTGCTGGACCAATATTAATATAGGAAGAACCCATTATATATATATATATTTATAATGATACATATGTATATGTATATATATATTTATAATGATACATATGTATATGTATATATATATTTATAATGATACATATGTATATGTATTTATAATATATATATATATATGTATTGTTTGTTTTTTCCGGTGGGACTGGACCGCTTACTACTGAGAAAGACCACCCAAATGCCCCTCAGAGATGACCTGTTCAGGATCCACCAGAGGGAGCACCAACCCTGGTAGCACAGGGGCACGCGCACATCCCTGGTTTTACCAGCTACCCTCTGGTAATTTAACATAGCTATTGAAAATGGCCAGTTATAGTGGATTTTCCCATAAATAGCATGGTGATTTTCTATAGCTATGTGGCTGTTTACCAGAGGGTATCCCTGGTTATCCCCTAACAGTTTTCCCATGTTTTCCCTCATTTTAGTGATACCAGATACTTGGCAAATAGCCCAGGGGCACTCAGGTGATCCATGGGTTTTTGACAGGTGGATCCAGCTGCCAATTCTGGAGTTGGACGGTAAGGACCGCGGCAAAGTGCTGGAAAGTCTGCGCTGCTGGGGCGCGGTACACCTGGCGCCCGGCTGGGACAAGGCCAATGTGAGGCCGATTCGTTGGAAGCCGGGGCAGACATGGCAAATCTGGGTTAATCTTGATTTCTCTTGGCACGTCTTGGTTACTCTTGGCAAATCTTGGAGATTTAAATTGGTTGATTGGTTGGTTCATTGTTTGATGTTTGTTGATGTTTGTTGTTGTTTTTTTTTCCGCGGTGCACAAGGGTTTCCTGGAGAATGTGGCACCCTGATAGTTTCAAAGGGGGAGAAGATCTTTGTTTCAACTTATTCTTTGGCCCAAACTGCAACTGGGCCGATATAGAAAGTTTTGACAATACACCTCCCACTCAGAAGCGTAAATAATGGCAGTGAATGATTGGCATTAGCTGCGTCCTGACCCCAACTGCACCTTGCCGTACTGCACAGCCCTTCAGTAGGCCTTGGTTTTTGTTCACATGGTTAATCTATGTTAATCTGGGATCGGGGTTTGGTTGGCAAATCCAGCAGAAACCAGCACATCTTTCAACTTTGTTGATATATCATAATACACATCCGATTTTCCTGATAGACCCCGACCTTGTCTATCCTGATAGACTACCAAACTTACATAGTTTTGGGCATGTCTCAACCATATGCTGGCAGGCCAAACTGGCTCAACTGGCACACGCTGATGATGGAGGCCCAGAGCGCAACCAAACTTCTGTAAAACAAAGGTTGGATGAAACCAGTAAATGGATGTAAATGGATGTAAATGGTGTCTCATTCCCAGTTTGCGAACTGAGTCTATTCCCTTGAATAGAAGGCAAAATCCCCATCTGTGGATGTCCGCATCTGTTACAGATCATTTCATTGGTCAAGTTGTCATGTTGGAGGGTATCATCCTGAGGTGCTCAAGGTGTCTCAACAGTTTGAAGCCTCCATTCTTTGCTGGTGAAATCCTTCAAATTCTTGCTTTCAATGGTCAAATCTGCATCTTTTTTTTGGATTTTCTGGGTGAATCCCCTGGATTTTCCATGGATTTTTCCTTGGTTCAAGCAGCAAGTCATTGGGATCCAAGCCGAGTGTCACCTCAGTCCAGCTCCCTCTTTTGGTCCATCGAATGCCCCAGGCCACGAGGCAACGGAAGAAGTTCCTCGCGCGCGAGTGCGTGCAGAGTGTGGAGCTGAGCACGTGGAGGATTCGATTGGTCTGAAAATGATGGGAAAACCGTTGGAAAAGTCTCAAAACATGTCTGAAATGATGGGGAAATGATGGGAAAAGCCTCAAATCTTCATTTTCAGACCAGTTTCAGACCCATTTCTGGAATCTAGTGACTCATGGTTTAAACCCCGGATGAATAAAGATAATAAAGTGCCAGCTTGCTAACTGGAGCCATCCATAAATTAGTGGTTTAGTTCCAGTTAAAATGATGTCATGCCCTGGTATTTGAAAGCTTGAGAAGCCAGATTGGGTGATATAACATTGAAGCCATTCATTCCATACAGGATTTTGATAATAAGTTGATCTCCATGACTAATCAATCCTCAACAAATCATCCAATTTTGGGATTTTCACAGTGAAATCCCAGCGATCTCCACCCTGCCCCAAGCCATCCTAAGACAAACAGCTGCGGTTCAGCTTGTCGGAAGACCTATCGCGGACCATGATTGGGGAGGCCGAAAGCGGTGATTTCCAGATCCAATCTGGGGGGGTTGGGCGTTTAACCATCAAACATGGCCATTGTGGCATGAAAAGTGGGGATTTCAGCACCAAACAATAGAAGTGGGGCGAGTTAGCCACCAAAACTGGTGAAGTTTGATTGAACCAACAGAAGGAATGGAGGGTGTGGAAGTGGAACGTTGGCCAACTTTAGATGCTTTACGAAGCACAGAATCTGGTG